TTAATGGGGGGTTTTTTTGGATCTGCGATTTTGAATAACATGCAGCTCAATGGTAGAGCAGAACTCTCAAAAGCAAAACTTTCCCTCCGAACAAACGAGCGGTGAGCCAAAACCGTATTAGGTATTCAAAAAATTCTTTCAACGTGAGCGTCAGCCATCTTTGGACTACAACTGGTGTAACTTTCATATTTCTACAATATTTCGTCTAGGCGTGGTGACGATGTAAAAACGTGTATAATTGTCAAAATCTTGATTTTGGGGTTCGGACAGATTTGTTACCCCCCGAACAAACCTTTTTCCTAGCTAAACGATAAAAGATATCGACACGCTTCCTTCAATGTGAGTGCTAGGAAGGTCTGAGGAACAACATCCACAAGGCTCATGTTGCTACGTTGAACGGTTCCCGAATGGGAGCGATACGAAAAAGTCTGTTTTTTTTAATTTTCAGTTCGGATTTTCAGAGAGCTCTCATTGGATTTCTATTGGGGAAGTGTGGACTTCTTCGTGGTCTTGGCCAAACTGTCAGAAAACCGTAAATGCCACACAAATGAGGGTTACATTTCCTGAATCCTGACTAAAATCCCTACGTTTTGTTGTAAACTTTATTTCAATTGAGTGAAAAATGAGGAAGTGAGAAGAATTTGTTTGGAAAAACCAGAACAGCTCAAAAGCTAGAGCACGCACTCTGACAGTTGAAGAATTCCGTCCATAGACTTCCATTATAAATCTTAAAATCGTTAAAATTTCTTTTAAAGTTTGAAGCTTCACTGAAGTAAAACTGTAAAAGTTAGCAAAAAGCTGAGGTAAACAGTAATAGTAGAAAGATACAGAAACATTTTAAAAGTTGAATGGTGTTTCTAGCTGAAAGTATGCTGAAGTAGTTAAAGGTCAAAGATGTTGAAGTTTTAGCTGAATTTTGCTGAAATCTGAGAATTCTACATGCATTTCAATGGGGCCAAAAATCGCAGAAAAAGCTGAATATCGCGAAAAGTACAAGAAATATCTTTACCAAAAGATATAGCATCATTCTCCTGAAGAAGCTGAACGTTTTGATACCAAATTTGTTGAAGTGGGCTGAAAACTGTTGAAGTAGTTTTACGACCAAAAACGTACGGAATAATAATAATAATAAAAATGCTTAAGCATTCCCACTTGATGAAGCAGAATGATGAAAAAGGGGTCCCTATGTCCTCCAGCAGTCTAAGCCTATAGCAGCAGAACTATAGAGATAGATCAGGATAACCTGAGCCACTCTAACTAGAAGCTTTATCAAAAAGGAAAGTTTTAAGCCTAGCCTTAAAAGTAGACAGGGTGTCTGCCTCACGGACTAAATAACTATATACCGGTACACATTAAACATGGTGGTGGTAGTATGATGTCCTGGGGCTGCTTTCCTGCTTCTGTATCTGAGTGATTTGCTGAAACTGGGTGGAATTTGATTCGATTGCCATTTCCTCTCTGCCAGAAAGCCCTGAATCAGAATGTCTGATAACTTTAAAAACACACTGAAAACATGTTTTAATCCTAAAATAAAGCCTTATATCCTGAGTGTTCATCACGATCATGTTTACTTTGTCCTTTTTAGCCTGAAAGGGAATTTTTCACCTAAACAATGTTGTGTGCGTCATTATCTACCTGGAATATTGAACATTAGCTAATATCACACGAGTGCTTTGCTTATAAACCTTTTCATTACTAGAATTAAAAGCCATGTTTAATCCATTCAAATGTTTTTGGGTTTCAAAAACTTTTTCCTCTTTGTTTTTGCTTCTCTGCTAATGTGGTTTTATTACGTCATCCAGAGACATAGTACAGACGTCTCTAGGCGTAGACTAATAAAATGGAGCAAAAACGCAAAGTAAAACAATACAATAAAATATAATTTATTAATGTAATCATATTTTATCATATTTAATGTAACCATATCCTACTAAAGTAAGCTGCTGCTGTCAGAGAATGTGACCCTTTAACAATATGATTGAAAACAGCAACAAGTTGCTTTCCTGAAAGTTTTCATTAAAAGCAAATAATCCTGTTGAACTATCTGATACTTTTTTTAGCCAAACAGGAACAGACCAGATGAAGCTACTATGAGAAAAAGCAGAGAGAGCAGAACGTTAGAGATTGAACTAACAGATTCTGCAGAGTGGGAGAATAGAGATAGAATGAAGCAGAATGATGAAAAAGGGGTCCCTATGTCCTCCAGCAGTCTAAGCCTATAGCAGCAGAACTATAGAGATAGATCAGGATAACCTGAGCCACTCTAACTAGAAGCTTTATCAAAAAGGAAAGTTTTAAGCCTAGCCTTAAAAGTAGACAGGGTGTCTGCCTCACGGACTAAATTACTATATACTTATTAAACATGGTGGTGGTAGTATGATGTCCTGGGGCTGCTTTCCTGCTTCTGTATCTGAGTGATTTGCTGAAACTGGGTGGAATTTGATTCGATTGCCATTTCCTCTCTGCCAGAAAGCCCTGAATCAGAATGTCTGATAACTTTAAAAACACACTGAAAACATGTTTTAATCCTAAAACGTTTGCAAAACTAAACTATTTTTAGTATTTTAGTTTATTTATTTACTGTTTTATTTCTCCTTTCTTCCAGATCTGATGATTGAAATGGAGGATCACACCAGTGACCTGAGCGAAGGTCGTATTCCCTTCCTGGACTATAAAACCTACACAGACAGAAACTTCTTCCTGCCGTCCAAAGAAAACGCCAACGACCCTATGATCACCGGAAAAATACAAATCCCAGAAGCTCGTAGGGCGACCGTGACGCAGGCGCTCAACCAGTTCTCCAACCTGCTGAACAGCAAAACTTTTCTCATCAACGTGAGTTTGAAACTGCAGCTGATTCTATTAACGGCTCCACACCTAGATCTATGTGAATCTATCTTTAACGGATCTAATCCCAATGCAGTTTATTCACACATTGGAGAGCCGTCCGGACTTCAACGCCCGCTCTCGGGGAAACTTTGCCTCGCTTCTGACGGTGGCGCTGCATGGTAAGCTGGAGTATTACACTGACATCATGAGGACGCTGCTGCTGGAGCTGATGGACGAACACGTTCAGAATAAAAACCCCAAACTGATGCTCAGGAGGTGAGAACGTTTCACAGACGTGTCCATGTTTCCCTTCTGTTTATGCCTGCAGTCGTTCCTTAAATATTTCATGAGCACCTTTTTCGACTTTAGGGCTTTACTTTTTCTTTTACATTTTGATTCCATATAAAATCTTTAAAAATAAGTCTGAGCTGTTTTGTGTGGCCTTGTAAATTGATAATTGTGACTGCAGAAGGAGTTTGTGTTCTGTCGTCTTGGCTCAGGCAATAGAGAGGTAATCAGCAGCGCGGCTTGTTCGGCAGCTGCCTCGCCTCCCGCTGTGAACCCTGACAGCACTGTGATTGTACAGACTGTGTCTGGGAATGCCAAAACCCTATTTATGAGTTTGAAGTTATAGAAAAATGATTTCTCCCGGCGTTCTCGTGGATCTCATCTTTCTTTTATTGTCTCCTGTGTGCATGCAGGTCAGAGACGGTGGTGGAGAGGATGCTTTGTAACTGGATGTCCATCTGCTTGTACCAGTTCCTCAGGGTAACACAGATTCACTCACTGCTTCTGTTCTTTGATCTCTCCTCCTTCTTCTTTCATTCAATTCTTTCCTATAACAACCTTTCTTAGGTGTTGAACATTTCGCAGTAGATTGTGTCACGATTTCTGATCAAGCCTTTTATCGTCCCTTTCAGTAAAAGTTTTCTCTTTGATGCTTCCATTGGCTGATTCTTCATTTGTGTAATGAGTTTTTACAACATGTACCAAGAAATTGTCCAGAGTGTAAAAATTGAGGAAATAAGTAGGACTGAAATGATTAATAGATTATTTAAATAATCATCAGCTAATTTAGTAATAGATTAATCGTTAACTGGTTTATGGAGACTGATCATGCCTTAAGCCGACAGAGCGACCCACTTAGAGCAGGAATTATATCAAAATTGCAAAAAAAAAAAAACATTTTGCTTTTCAGTTGGTGAAGATTCTCAATCATCCAGGTGAAAAAAAAACAATCCACTGGACTTTGTTTCCAAGTTTAAAGACGTTTCTCTTCCATCCAGGAAGATTTTTCAATTCAAAATGTCAGAAATAGTGTTTAGTTCCAGGTTTTATCCAGCAGCCCAACAAAGCCTGGTTTTAGTTTCGAAAACATGCCCCTTTACAGGGGAACAGAGGATCCCCCTATTCAACCAGGCCAACAATTCCCTTTAACGACCCCCCTTTCAGAGACATAGACAGGTATGGGGCATTGCAGGCTAACAAAGAAGCCAAACGACCCCCATTCCAAAGGGGGGGACCCATTCATCCGTTTCTATTTGCATGTTTTCTAAACTAAAACCCCATTTACTCTACCCTTGAAAAACCAATCTTTGCCAAGACCGGTCCGAGCTCGGATCAGTTAACCAACATCAGGCTATCTCGACTCCTCGCCTCCTAGTGACGATCTGCGGTATTACTGCCAGTATTGAAGGAGGAAATCAAGCAGTTGGTGGCGGTAATGCACCAAAAGTTGTTTGCCAACCGCCATAAAAGATTATCGCTGTACTTCGGGGTTATTATTTAAAATGTTGCGTGGGGAAGATTTCGATTGTTGTTTATAGTTGTTGTTCTTTTTCTTCCGTTTTGTGTTGGTTGGCAAGCAACTTTCGGAGGTGCATTACCGCCACCTACTGGAATGGAGTGTGAATCGGGATGTGCAGCCAGACGGAGATGACGCGTTCTGTTCATGCGCTCTTGTTATCAGAGAACCGATGCGAGCCCACCTCTGGACCTGGTCTGCAGTTATCTCGGTCCGGTTGTGTCTAGCTCGGTCCGGTTGTGTCTAGCTCGGTCCGGTTGTGTCTAGCTCGGTCCGGTTGTGTCTAGCTCGGTCCGGTTGTGTCTAGCTCGGTCCGGTTGTGTCTAGCTCGGTCCGGTTGTGTCTAGCTCTGTCCGGTTGTGTCTAGCTCGGTCCGGTTGTGTCTAGCTCGGTCCGGTTGTGTCTAGCTCGGTCCGGTTGTGTCTAGCTCTGTCCGGTTGTGTCTAGCTCGGTCCGGTTGTGTCTAGCTCGGTTCGGTTGTGTCTAGCTCGGTCCGGTTGTGTCTAGCTCGGTCCGGTTGTGTCTTGCTCGGTCCGGTTGTGTCTAGCTCGGTCCGGTTGTGTCTAGCTCGGTCCGGTTGTGTCTAGCTCGGTCCGGTTGTGTCTAGCTCGGTCCGGTTGTGTCTAGCTCTGTCCGGTTGTGTCTAGCTCGGTCCGGTTGTGTCTAGCTCGGTTCGGTTCAGTTTACTTCCATTTACACACCATAAGTTATCTCAGTTACTGAGCTCGGACCGGTCTCGGCACGGTTTTTCAAGGCTAGTGTAAATGGGGTAAAAAAAAACAGGCTTTGTCGGGCTACTGGATAAACTGGAACTCAACACTATTTCTGACGTTTTGAATAAAAAAATCTTCCTGGATGGGAAGAAAAACGTCTTCAAACTTGAAAAATTTATTCCAGTGAAATATTTTTTAATTTTTTGGGAATTTTGCTTTTTAAGTGGAAAAGTTTTAGTTTCACCTGGTTTAATTTCATAAAAAAATCTTTTCTGAGGAGCCTTTTACTATCCAGTTATTAATTAAATGAATCAATTAATAAAAAAAATATATCAACAGAGTAATCGATTTGCAAAATAATAGTTGCAGCCCTAGAAATAAGAGCTGCACCAATGAAATATGGTATCTCACAGCTAAAAGACGGCACATTGATGCATGTTTACTGGAAATACTGACTGATTAGAGCTGCTAAATCTAGATATGTTACTATATTTGAGATGCAGTTTGAAGCAGGTGTATGTTTGGGTTCCCTGGTTTAGGACACTGCTGGAGAACCTTTATACAAACTGTTCAAGGCCTTGAAGCACCAGGTGGAGAAGGGCCCGGTGGACGCCAGGCTGAAGAAAGCCAAGTACACGCTGAACGACACGGGGCTGCTGGGAGACGATGTGGAGTACTCAGTGCTGGTTAGTTCACACTTAGAAACACTGGGATTCCTCCTTTTAGTCAATAGAACCAAACGTCTTACTGCGTGAAATCAATTCTCAGTTTAATTCAGTTAGCTGCAATCTGGACAGACACCAGAGGAGGCGCTGCGGCTGACGTCCTCTAACAGGACAGAGCAGCTTTTAATTTGCCCAGCTCGTTCTCTGGGTGTGTGTGTGTGTGCCCTGATGACCGTATCAGCCCAGGATTATTAAAACCATCTCAGCCCTGAGCTCCTGTGGCTCACTGATAAGTTACATCTGAATCACCTCAGTGTGGTTTAATGGAGCTTTCAGACCAAATGAGCTGAGCCGAGCCATGGAGCTGAAGCATCACCAAATGACTTAATGAACAGAATTAACTGCCTACTGATGTCGGCTCTCCTCCCTCTATCGTCTGTAAAGGTGGAGCATAAAACCAGGAGAAGTAGGCCAGATAGAAACTTCTCCTTCATGTGTCTCGTTGGGGATAAAAGTGACTGTGACGGCTGTTTTTTGTCAGACTCTGCAGGTTCTGGTGCATGGGGAGGGACCGGACGTCACCCCGGTGAAAGTGCTGAACTGTGACACCATCACCCAGGTGAGTTTCTCCTCATGAGCCTCAGATCCTCCTGCATGCTTTGGTTGTTTCTGCACAGGAAGCGGTAAATGAAATGACTTCCAGCTTCTCCTCCTCTCTGCCAGCTTTGAGCGGGTGATGGATCTGTTTGCGTTAGCTAGCATGTTCACGGGTACGGCTGTAATTTTGTTCCCTCCAGGTGAAGGAGAAGATCATCGATCAGGTGTACAGGAACCTGCCGTATTCACAGAGACCCAAAGCAGAGAGTGTTGCACTCGGTGAGACAAACACTTCTAGTTTACATCCTTTAGTTCATCCAGAATCACATGTGAGCTGCTGTGAATTCAATTCAGTTTATTTCTATAGCACCAATTCACAACACATCCAGATCATCCAGTCAGATTGATTGACAGTCAAGTTTTCTATCAAAAACTAGCAGGTTGCATCTCTTGCATGCATGCTTGTTACCACAGTGCAGAGTTGGAGAATAGAGATAGAATGAAGCAGAATGATGAAAAAGGGGTCCCTATGTCCTCCAGCAGTCTAAGCCTATAGCAGCAGAACTATAGAGATAGCTCAGGATAACCTGAGCCACTCTAACTAGAAGCTTTATCAAAAAGGAAAGTTTTAAGCCTAGCCTTAAAAGTAGACAGGGTGTCTGCCTCACGGACTAAAACTGGTAGTTGGTTCCACAGGAGAGGAGCCTGAGAACTAAAAGATCTGCCTCCCATTCTACTTTTAGAAATTCTAGGAACCACTAGTAAACCTGCAGATTGAGAGCGAAGTGCTCTGTTAGGAACATCAGGAACAATCAGATCTCTGATATCAGATGGAGCTTGGCCATTTAAGGCTTTATATGTGAGAAGGAGGATTTTAAATTCTATTCTGGATTTAACAGGAAGCCAATGAAGAGAAGCCAGGATAGGAGAGATATGATCTCTCTTTTTCATTTTCATCAGAACTCTGGCTGCAGCATTTTGGATCAGCTGAAGTGTCTCATAAAAACACAGCGGAGATGCGACCAACTGGTCCTACCTAGTGTGGCGCCGATACCTGGCTGTGCAGTATCGGCTGATACCATCTGTTTGAGATTGATGTGTGTGCATATATAAAGAACTGCATCCTACCTGGATGTAAAATAATTGCCATCATGGCTTCATGTCGAGCTGCTGCCTACCTTTGTGAAGCAGGAAAAAGACTAAAACAAACTTCTTATTGCCTACCTGGAATGGTTGACAATAGTTGAAGAAACTTTTGGCTCTCTAAATGGTATCGGTCCTATTTGTTGGTACTCGCCGATACCGATACCATTTTATTTTAGCGCTGCATTGGGGCTCCGTCCGATGCTACCTCGTTTTATCTCTGATGTTATAGAGCAGGGGTCTTCAACATTTTCCAGGCTAAGGACCCCCAAACTAATGGCGAGATGGAGCGGGGACCCTCCAATTATATATATTTTGTATGAAATTGGTCGTATAGTCACTTTATTACAGATGGAGTTATGTAACGAAAGTTATTTCATCCTGGAATTAGCAAAGTATTTCTGATTCTGATTCCTGGTTGATGGGACAGGTGTTGTGAATGAAACAGTGCCCAGCTTCAAAGTGTGTCGCTGTATGTGTGCATTGCTGACTAAAAGACATCTTCTGCTTCTATTTATCTGTTTACTTCAGTGTGTTTAATTCATGTTAATGTGCATTTAAGGACATTTCAATTAGTGGAAAAAATTGCAGGGGGGAATATAAAAAAAAATTTAATCAACCAAATATTTCGCGACCCCCATGCAGTACCTCCGAGGACCCCTAGGGGTCACGGACCCCCTGTTGAAGACCTCCGTTATAAAGTATAATTAACCCATGAATTCCTCGTCTGTCCACAGAGTGGCGTCCCGGCTCCACGGGTCAGATCCTGTCTGATCTGGACCTCACGTCCCAGAAGGAGGGCCGCTGGAAGAGACTGAACACGCTGGCTCATTATAACGTGAGTTCTGGACCCCGGTCTGAATCTGCTGCAGGTCGTCTCCCCTCAGTCCGTCACAGCAGAGCGCAGCCCTCCTCCTCCTCCTCCTCCTCCTCCTCCTCCTCCTCCTCCTCCTCCTAGATCTGCACTCCTCATGTTTAAATGGGACTCAGTCAGCCTCTCCTCACCCAGCTGGAGAGGTTTAACTTTCCAATATTACAAATTAACCTCAGTAGGACTCCACCTCTGCAGCAGAATGTTTAGATTGGATGGCAAATTAATCCTTTAATGAGAAAACGAAGAAGGATTCTGCAGAAGAAAAGCTGAACAGGAATCTTTATCTTTTCTTTAAACATGGCTGATCCACTGCTTCCTATTGGTCTCCTTGTATTTTCCATTTTACGTTCTTCAAAGGCGAGCAGAAACGTTCCCATTCAGGAGAATTTAACAAAAGAAAGTAAAAGCAAATCTGTAGCTGCAGCTAAAAAGCAGATTTTAGTAGCAGTCTAGCCAATCTGTTGTTGTTCTTCCATCTTCTTTCAGCTCCTTTAGTGCCACAAAGAGAAACAACCTGCTGCTCTTAGAATAGATTTGATTAGGAATCCAATTCACAGGTTGAATTATTTAGTTTGGATCAGATGAAAATCCACTATAACTTCCTGCTTCTTACTTTAAACTGGCTGCAGGTGTTTGTTTGTTTTATCATGTCACAAATCACATCATTTGATGAATAGTTTCCTTCAAAGTTGGATGGATCCACCTCATCTTGCTGCTCCGACATCCTTCTGTCCACAGAACAAATATTTCTGCTGATAAACAATCCCTCCATCTTCCCGTCTGTTTGCTTCCAGGCTTGAACCTGCGTCGGCCCTCATGCGTCGGCCTCCTCCTCTCTGTTTGTTTGGGGTTTCTGTCTCCAGCTCATCTCCTTGTTTATGGCAGCCGCACAGATTCATGATCCTGCTGCTCGATCCTAATGCTTTTAATCAGCTTTGTTTCCTCAGTTTTCAGCGGAGACCTTTACTTTTGCACCAAAACAAGCTAAAGATGAAGAGCAGGAAAATGTCGAGCCACTCGAGACTCGTCTGCACGCTGCAGCAAAACCAACAGAAACTAAATCACTCCTGCTGTCCAGACTCTCCTGACATTTAAGGAGAATAATTAATTCACAGGCTGATTTTTCCTGTAATAACTGTGTAGCTTAATTACTGAGAAAAAGCTGTTTTCTTTCTGTGTGAACCGCAGGTCCGGGACAACGCCACCTTGGTTCTGTCCAGAGTTCTGCACACGCAGTCGTTCCACCAACACCAGGACAGCCATGATGAGAGTATGTCTTCACATGTTAAGCTTAAATTATATGACTGAATATCTGGATAAAAAGTTTTTTTTTTCTGAGGGAAAAAAAAATTATTATAGGAATTCTTTTTTTTTTTTTTTTGTTAAAAAGAAATTGATATCCCAGAAGATAGAACAATATGCATAAAATCTACCAGCGTATTTTATAAAGATCATTTTTAGAGTTTATTTCCTCAGTTTGTCCTTTCTAATCCTGCTGGGACCAAAGTTCTGTGCTTAAGGATCAAACATTCATACAGGAGGATTCAATAAGTCATTATTAGGCAAGGCAAGGCACATTTATTTGTAGCTCAATTCAGTACAAAGAAAATTCAAAGTGCTTTTTACATGATTAAAATACAGGAAGATAAAACAGAAAAATAAAAAATAAATAAAATAAAATAAAAAAAGCAGAAACAAAAGAATAATATTAAAAACAGTTGGATTAAAGAAAATATGTTTTAGTTGAACTGTTTAACTAGAACAGTTGAAGGCAATCCTAAACAAATGTGTTTTTAGTCTTGATTTAAAGGAACTCAGGCTTTCTGCACTTTTCCAGTTTTCTGGAAGTTTGTTCCAGATAAGTGGAGCATAGGAACTAAATGCTGGTTCTCCATGTTTAGTTCTGGTTCTAGGTCTGCAGAGCAGGCTGGAGCCAGAAGACCTGAGTGGTCTGGAGGGTTGATACACTGATAGCAAGTCTGTGATGTATTTAGGTGCTAAGCCATTCAGAGATTTATAGACTAACAGAAGGATTTTAAAGTCTATTCTCTGAGATACAGGGAGCCAGTGGAAGGACTTTAGAACCGGGGTGATGTGCTCTACTTTCTTAGTCTTAGTGAGGACACGGGCAGCAGCGTTCTGGATCAGCTGCAGCTGTCTGATCCACTTTTTAGGCAGAATATCAGCAGGAGTAACTTTAAGTTGGCTATTTGTTAAAACATAAATCCAAGAATATGAGGAATAGAATTAGTTGTGGTATTTGTGGAGTCCACCTGTAGAATCATAGAGTAGATAGAAGAAAGTCCAGCGTCTCTCAGCCCAGCCGTCCCCAGACTGTTTACTTATTTAAAGGTATTTGGTTTGTTTGCTCTGCTAAGGTTCTACTGTTTTATTAATTCTCTCATGTTGAAGCTTTAAAACATCCAGTGTTTTTGATGCTGAAGATTCTCAGTCATCCAGATCAGAGTCATTCCACTAAAGTGGATTTTGTTTCCAAGTTTGAAGACGTTTCGCTTCCCATTAAGGAAAGTTTTTGCTATTATCGCAGCTCCAACTCCTTTACAGGGAAACAGAAGACCTGCCCTATGCAGCCAGGCCAACTATTCCCTCTAACGCCCCCCTTTCAGAGACATAGACAGGTATGGGGCATTGCAGGCTAATAAAAGAAGCCAAATGACCCCCATTCCAAAGGGGGGGATCAATTCATCCGTTTCTATTTGCATATTTTTAAAGTCTTTGTTGAGCTCCTGTATTAATCCTAAACCTCAACACTATTTCTGACATTTTGAATTGAAAAAGCTTCCCTGATGGGAACAGAAATGTCTCCAAACTTGGAAAATAAATTCTAGTGGATTGTTTTTAACTTTTTTGGAATCCAGGGTTTTTATAATAATCAGCATCTTTTAAATCTTCTCTATTTTTCTGCAACAGATTGTCTTTTTTTACTTATCTGATGTTATTTTCCAGCTAATGGGATTTATAGAAAAAACAAAACAGAGTATATGAATAGAATAAAATAATAATTTAGTTTTAAGTCTAATTTAGGCTTGTTTGATTGATAGAAAATAAAAAATCTGAATCAAACATCTAAAACATTTAGAGGGGGATATTTAACCATCAGAGCTGCAGCTAATGGCCTGTTTCTCACTTTAAAGCTCTGGTTAATATTAAAAAGGATGGTTTCCTCTCTTTGAGCAGAAAACGCGCTGCTGGAGGACGACAACACCTTCCACCTGGTGAGGCCCACGGATGAAATCGATGAGGTGAAGTCAAAGAGAGGCAGCATGAAGGACAAGGCCATGACCAAAGCCATCACGGAGATCTACCTGACCCGGCTGCTCTCTGTCAAGGTTCCCACTGCCTGATTTAAACTGGTTTCACTGGTTCCACCTCTGGTTCTGACTGATACAGGTGTACCTCATGTCGGTCGTTTCTTCTGTGTAACAGGGCACCCTACAGCAGTTTGTGGACGATTTCTTCCGCAGCGTTCTGTGCACCAGCTCTGCCGTCCCTCCTGCCGTCAAATACTTCTTTGACTTTCTGGACGAACAGGCGGAGAGACACGACAACGTGGACGAGGAGACGCTGCACATCTGGAAGACCAACAGGTCCCATTCTATGATTAAAACGTGTTAGATTTGCTCTCTTTAACTTCAGTTATCTGTAGCTCAGTGGAGTCCTAACATCTCTTTAAACAGGAAGGAAAAATTAGAAACCAACAACGCCTCGGCTTTAATCCCCTACATTTATTCTGTTTGCGTCATCTTTGGTTTCCTGATTTCTAAAGACGCGTAAGAGTCCAAACACCACGGCTCTGTCTCCATGCTAAGCATTCCTCACATCAACAAGCAGCAGAAATAAAATCAAACATTTTTAACGCTCCAGCCTCCTTCACATAATTCAGATATGAATAAATGAAAAAAAAGACTATAAAAAAGGAGACAAACAAAATCCTTAAATAAGGCTCACTTCCTCTGGCTGCAAAGCTTCACATTTAAACCAACTGTTTGCATAGCTTTGAGCAGAACTGCATGATCCTAAAGGCTGATTTATGCTCAGGAACCAGGTGGTGTCGCAGTTAACGCAAATATGCCCCGCCCCCTTTCGGGAGACACTCTGCTGCACCTCTCCAAAACTGTAGGTGACCGCAGACAGGAGGCCTCTGATTGGTCAACTCTACATCCTCTCTACTCTATTTCCTGTTTGGTTCCTTACCGGCTGGTTTTATTTGTATAGCCGCCATTGTGGAAAACGACTGGTGAAGATGGAGCCGCTAGAAGAGCGAGGTGCGCGAGAACGCTGGGACCCTTTTTCCACCTGGATCCCCGCTCTTTTTGGCCCTCATATCCCTCCGTTGTCGCACAAACTCGCCCCCCCTTCCTCACCGCGTTGTGGCGTGGAATAACAGTGCAGACCACGCTTCAATACTGGGCATAAATCAAAAATATCTGCATCAATCTCACTGCGACCTAACCTGACTCCGCCAGATGGATTTGCTCCGCATATCCATCTGGAAACCTTCCGTTGAAGTAATTTTGGGAAGGGGTGAAAATACTGGTTAGCTGATTGGCCTATGTTGGTGATAGACGGGCCAAATAAACCAATCAGATCAACGAAGCATATGACGTACTAACAGAGCGACGACGAAGAGGAGCCAATTGATAGATCAAACTCTTGCCGAAACCAGTCGGGAGAAGAGCAAAAACATCTTTTCCTCTGAGAAAAGCCTCCAGAGCAGTGTTTTGCTCTTCTTTCAGTGAAGAAATACTCTGTAATTCCCATAAAACTTGCTCCATAGCCACGCTAACGCTACTTTCATCGGCTGAAGCCGCCATGTTCTTTAGACTGAACTGTCGCGCTTCTCGTTGCGTCACACCTCAACCCGCCTCAAAGCCAACGCTGATTGGACGTTCGTTTGGTGAACGGCTCCAAATTTTCTTCAACAGAGAGTCTCCAGACTGATCTGCGAGTGAAACCTTGAAAGCTCGCGAGATCAGGATGGTCTCACCAGGCTACAGCCAGGTATCGGGCCAGCTGGGTCACCCTGAACCCCACTATGACCCACCTTTAAACCCACTCATCTCTGACTCAAAGTCCCGCTGATTAAATTCCTCCAGATGAAGAGCAGCTGCTTTGTTTTAGCTTCAGAGGTGCAGGTTTCTCTCCTTTAAATGCACCTCGATGTGAACAAACCTCCAGGTTTCAGGATCAGCAGTCGGCCAATCAAAACAGATTCCTCTGCATCAAACCCTCTGTCGTCTCCACAGTAAGGAAAATAATATTTAGACTGAAATCAAAAAGTCATTGCATGAAATCTTCTAAGATGTGCCCCGCTGTGCGACGTCCTTCTTTTTTCCATCTTTCATTCAGCATCAAATGCAATAATTACTTAGATCCGATTGTTGGCGTCTGACAGCTTCTGAATCAGGCCTCTCTGCGCCTCCTGGCAGTTTTACCGTATTTTCACGACTATAAGGCGCACTTAAACGTCTTTTTTTTCCTCAAAATGTGCGGTGCGCCCTATGGTGCGGTGCGCCTTATGTGTGTTGTAACTGCGACTTTTGAGACCACCTCATTGAGGAGATGATGAAAGAGTGGCTGAATGTAAGGAGACCAGGTGTTTTTTTTCCACCCCTCACCATCGCTGTTAATATGTAACTCCATGCGTGCCCATCTCACAGCTGATGTGAAAAACATGGGGAAACAAATTAACGCTGCTCGACATCGGTGTGAACCGGACCCAGCAGGTGCAGCAGAAGCAGCGTGTTTAACGTGCAAAGTCAATGGTTGACGCGCGTATAGGTGCAGCAAAAGGTACCGTAGCGCATTTTGGTGCAGCACGTCGGGAGCGTTTAAGCATCTGACGCACCGCCAACACGCTGCTGCTGCTCGAGATGGAAAAATTGAAGTTTTGCTGCTGGACGCGCCGCATCAACCAATCAGAGAAGCTGATCTGGGAGCTGCCAGCGAGACAGACAGCGCTCTGATGACATATGATATTAACGCAAATGGAAAAGGCTGGATGGATGCGTGGCTGAGGCAGGTGTATGTGAGAAGACTAGGTGGTTTTTTCCACGCATCACCATCGCTGCGTGCCCATCTCACAGCCGGTGTGAAAAAAAGGTGAATCAAATGAACGCTGTGCTCGCCGTTATCCCGGGGGTCTGACAAAGGAGCTTCAACCGCTCGACATCGGTGTGAAGCGGCCGTTCGAAGTAAGGCTGCGAGCGGCGTGGGAGCGATGGATGACAGACTGAGACCACAGTTTCAGGATAAGAAGGCAGCGCCGGGCAGATTACGCCACAGTTTGCGGATGGATTGTAGATGCTTGGACTAACGTGTCTGCTGGCTCTGTTGTTCAAGCTTTCGCAAAAGCCGGCATTATTTCTGAGGAGCCGCGCTGCACGGAAAGTGACTGACAGCTCAGAAGGGGAAATTGGCATGTGATTTAGCGCAGCTGTTTTATTCAGAAACAGAGGATGATGACTTTGAGGGGTTTGATTAATACTTTGTAATAAATACATGAATAAAGCACAATCATACTCAGTTTTGCTCCCGCTCTATTTTTCTACCTGAAAACTTAATTCAACAGCAGCCTCTGGGCGGGTCTCCTCCTCTTCAGCGCGGCGGCTGGCAGGTGTTTTTTCATCTAAATAATCTAAATCTTGCAGCTATATTTGCTGTGATCAGTGGGAATAAAGTAGTTTTAATATGTTTTTAAGTGAGAAAGTCCACCTGAAAACTTCATAATTGCAGTCAGTTCATCCAGATTATCTATTTCTGTCGGAGGCGCTCAGACCCCCACATACCAGCGGTGCGCTGACAGCAGAAATCCCTTCATCAGCAGCCTGTAGGCTGGGCAGCCTGGGGCTCACCGCGGCGGCTGGCAGGTGTTTTTCATCTAAATAATTTTAGCTGCAGGCACCAGGATACCGGCAATAAAAGCGAACATATTCCGTCAGCAGGTTTCAGGATTTTAAGTTAATTTAGGAGTGATCACAGCGCTGTGTCATCTGCGATGTGTCCGTCTCACATGAATAAAGCACAGTCATACTCAGTTTTGCCCCCGCTGTATTTTTAAATACGCAGTAGAGGTATTTAAAGGTAGTAGAGGACTTGTACCTGTATATAAAAAACGCGCCTTATAGTCCGGTGCGCCTTATGTGTGTGTTAAATACAGAAATGGGACACATAACTGAGACTGCGCCTTTTAGTCCGGTGCGCCTTATGGTCGTGAAAATACAGTAATCAGCCGTCGGTGAAATTTCCCCCCAAAGATAATAAATCAGCTGTTGTTGTATCGGTCCAGACAGAAACGGCTCTGAAGCCCTGTTACTGTGATGCATGCCGACGTTCTCCCGCTGATGTTCTTAACACAAACTCTAATGTTGGATGGAGGAGGTTTGAAGAAGGTGATCAAATCTTAATCACCGGATTGCAGCTGCTGTTGGTTCTACTGGAAAATGTTAGTGGGACTTTTTATTTGGAAACCAGTTAATTGGATTGCGCTAATTGAGCCGTATTATTCACACGGTGGATGCGTTCTATGGTCGAAGGTGTAAGCACCGCTGATAAATCCATCTTTTATTGCAGCCGTTCACATTGAGGAGGAGTCTAAAACTTTAGAACAAACTGACTTAAATTTAGATTAGATTAAATTAATAAGGCTGCCCATTAATCACCTCATTGGTTTCAGAATATCCATAAAAGTAAAAAAAAAAATCCACTGGACTTTGTTTCCAAGTTTGAAGATGTTTTAAATATTTTCCCAGCAGTTTATTTTTAGAGAATTAGCTCCCATTTTGATTTTTTTTCCTAGCTTGTTTTTAGGACGGCCTTATTGGTTCATAATATCTATAAATCCATGTCTGCTTGTGGCAGAGAGGAGGAGCCATCCGCTTTCTTTAACAACCATCAGATACTTTATGAATCCCTGATTCATTCTGACCATCCCAGATGTAAATATGTTGTTCATTTCAGTTCAATCCAGTGTATTTCTATAGCTCCAATTCCCATCATGTCATCTCAGGTCACTTTCCAGTTCAACCAGATCATCCAGTCAGATTGATTCAAAGTTTTCTATCTAAGGAAAACCAGCTGATTGCATCGACTCATTGACTCTTCAGCAATGGGTGGATTAGACTTCTGCAGCCGCATACATCAAATGTCGCTTGCGTCTGGTCGCCAACCAGTTTTTCTGGTGTGATTCTGCAATGTCAGTCTGGAATTTCTAGGGATGCCGCAGTTTCCCGCCAAAGAGCGAGGGGGAGCCTATTCGAGAACTTGGGAGAATTTCAGCGGATTGTCACGGAACCTCTTCGCCGCCGCCGGCTGGAGTGTTTATTTTCCAAAACAACATGTCTGAGGCATCGTACAACTGGTTGTACTTCCAAACCTTACGTCGTAGTTTTCCATTGCTGTTATTACTCCTTGGGTTTTAAAAATGGCGCGCCCCGGCATTGAATCGAGAAGGACGACCACACAGACAGCCGGAAAGGCATACCAGGAACCAACCACAGCTGCTTTTAGTCTGCAAACTTCCATTTGAGGTCTGGTGGGTTTGCGACCGTCCGACATGTAGTCAGGATTTTTTTTATGTTTGCAACGACGTTTGCAGAGGCTATGCCTCAGAAGCATAAATTGGCCTTAAGCATGCTTGTAGCGACAGTGGAGAGGAATTGTGCAGATGACATTTTTTGGTCCCGATACTTGGCTGTGCTGTATCGGCCGATACCATCTGTCTGAAATTGATGTGTGTGTATATATGAAGAACTGCAGACTACTGTGATGTAAAATAATTGCCATCATGGCTTCAAGCTGCTGCCTACCTTTGTGAAGCAGGAAAAATGCTTTTCATTGCCTACCTGGAATAGGTGACCACAGTTGAAGAAACTTTTGGCTCTCAAAATGGTATCAGTGCCCTATTGGTTTGTACTCGCCGATACCGATAAAACCATTTTAGTGCAGGATCGGTGCCCCGCCCCATACTGGTATCGGTGCAACACTACTTCCACCAGGCTCAGTGTGAGCGGCCGTCTGCTGAGGCCGACTGGGGTTCAAGGAGATTGAAGCAGAGATTTCTACTGGGAACTCTGGTCATAAAACAGCAACAGTTATTAAAGCTATAAATATGGAAAAAGCTCTAAATGCCCATAAAATATAGTAGAGGATCAGTGATGCTGTGGGCCCGTTTGTCTGCCATCATTACCTGCATCTCTGATCACAAACCAAAAGCCTTTAGAAAACTTGTCCTTCAGATAGAACCGATGACCGGCCTGCCAACCCAGGAGACGTTAGAGACGACCGTCTGCTGGGAAGCAAAGATGCAGAAGCTTTTTCTACCAGTGATTTTATTTCTTCTGCCATAAAATTTAAAAGTTTTTTAAAGAGGAAAGGCAATAGATGTTCAGGATTCTGAGTTTAAATGGTCTCCTAACAGAACTTTAAGATGTTTATTTCTTCCTTTAACCCATTTGATGTATCATAAACGTACTTAAACACATCATACAGCGAGACTCCCTGCCCAGACAGGTTGATATAAAGTCCTTCAGACATCATTTCAGGGTTGTTGAAAAGAGGAGTTTATTAAATTTTAAATGAAGTGGATCCAGAAACTGTTCTTACCAGATATCTTTGGGTGTTTTGCTTCCCAGACGATTAAATTCATCAGATTTTTAGGCTGACTTCAGGCTAAATGACAGGAGTTAGCTTTAAGTGCATCGCTCTCTCAGGATGAAACATCCTGATTTTAACTGATTCACCTGCTTGTCTTCAAAGCTGCTCTGAACCTCCAAAGAGAAATAATTATCCTGCTTCACAGGCCCGGCCTCTGCGTGCGCGGCTCGTATCTCATCAGCTCAGCTAGAGAGTAATTACGTCCTGGTTGCTGCTGAACCAGGCAGCGGACCACATGAAAGCCTGGTTTAATTGGCAGGCTGTTATCTGGTCAGCTAGATGACGGAGGGATGGGTCTCTGTAACCTCGCTGCCTCCCAACTAACCCTGATCTCAGTCACAGTGTTAACAAGAGGGATAATGAAATATTCATCAGCGATGGTCTAAAACCGGACATGCATCCGATAATCAGGTCATCCGCCCATCATTAATGACCTTTTTAGTCATAATTAACACGTAAAGGAAGGAGGATTAACACTCAGCTGATGAATGGAGGATGGGTTTTAGAAATAACCCAAATAGAAACATAGGAAAGGACCCAAAATATAAATTAGTATAATTTATTCCCATATCTCACCATCCTGACTGAGAGACTCGTTATTTGTTGGATTTTAACTTCCTTCCCGTTCTTGCAGCCTGCCTATGCGGTTCTGGGTGAACATCCTTAGAAACCCACACTTTATCTTTGACGTCCACGCGACGGAGGTGGTGGACGCGTCGCTGCACGTCATCGGTCAGACCTTCATGGACGCCTGCACCAAGACGGAGCACAAACTCAGCAGGGTAAGTTCTCACCTTCAGGTAAAACGCTGTCGTTTCAATCAGGTGTTTCCTAAGATCCACATACGATGGCAGCCATCAGGTGTTTGTCTTCAAACTGTTATCTTTTAGGTCTTTGATTCAATTGAAAAATTACAACAAATTATGTTTCTGTGAGGAAACTTCAATCTTTGAGTTAAGGAGCCATTTTTAAACTTGACAGATCAGTTGGACAAAGTTAAGAGCAAAATATTTTTAAAACAGTCTCATAGTCGAGTAAAAACATATAAAAAAACAACTTAAGAGTCTAATTAAGGCCCTCAGGAAACTTTGGGGAGCTCATCAGAACAAAACGGCATTTTTGGAAGTAAAACGTGACGCGTCGTCCCCTTTGATTTTCAATTAATGGCCCATGTTCGTTAAAAACCGAAGGAGGCCAATAAATCACCCCTGGGGGACGCCAGAAATGATTGCAGTTGCTGATAAGTTTAACGCAACAGTTTGTGTCGCAGGAAATCCATTTAAATGATTTGATTTGAACTAATATTGTTCAGATTACATTTTTTGATTCCCTGAGTGAGTCCTGGACTCTTAGTGTTTTTAATTAAAAGTAATTTTCCTTTAAAGTCGGATACCTCATGAAAATTCCTGTTATTTCATCTATTGTTTCTTTCTATTTATTTATTGAACAGAATGTAATTATTCATATTTAAAGGACTTTAAGCCTTTTTTATTCTGAATATGACCGATTTTTTAATTAAAACTGAAGGAGGCCAGTGAATCACCCCTGGGGGACGCCAGAAATGATTGCAGCTGCTGATTTAAACAGTTTCTGTCACAGGAAATCCGTTTTTTAATTGGTTTGAAGCACAGAACTAATATTGTTCGGATTACATTTTTCTGATTCCCTCAGTGAGTTCTGGACTCTTAGAAAGAAACAATAGATGAAATAACATGAATTTTCATGAGGTATCCGACTTTAAATAATAAAAAAACAGCCCATCCTTCACATTCTGTTGTTACAACTAAAAACGACGAAGCGAGACGGTTAGTTTAATTTGGTTGAACTTTAGTGAAGAACGGTGAAGGAAAAAAACATCAACTAATACAACCTGTTTTACCTAAAAGTTACATTACCCTTCTGCTTTTTTTACTTCCTGCTCTCAGAGCATCTTGGGTAATAGAGTCCACCTCAATGCAACTCCAAATTAATGCAGTCCCAAATTTAACCATAGTTAGCAAATGAACTGTGTTATCAACAATAATGTTAACTTATATTTTTCTAACTCAGTGACTTATCATTCATTTGTTATGAAATAATAAGTCCTCAACAAATAAATTCACAACACATTCTTCACTCCTGTGTGAAGAGATTCTGTTTTTTGGGCGCAGAGAGAATAACAGACCTGTGATCATCAGAACGTTCCTCTATAAAGATCCTACGGTGGCCCTGAAGTGCAAACTGCAACTACAAATCTAAAAGCGCAACTACATTAAGAAAAACACAATTACATTAACCTACCGGAAAATGTAGGTATCAGTGGGAAACATGGGACATCGCTGATTGGACGACGGCGCCGTTTGATCCTTGAACCGGAAGTTGCGTCGTCTGAACAGTCCAGCTTCTTTTAAGTGTGTCTTCAGTGTGCGCAAACTAACTGAAATTTCGTGATTAGTCTTGAGCACATCCAGCATCACCTCAATATCCGACAATATCCATGTTTTCAAAAGCCGCAGCAGGCAGAATGACTTCCGGTTCAAGGGTCAAACGGCGCCGTCGTCCAATCAGCGATGTCTCATGTTTCCCACTGATACCTACCTTTTCCAGTTCCAGTTTGCACTTCAGGGCCACCGTACGATCCTCTGATCTTAAGCAGTTCTTAAACTCCTGAGTTTCATTTCTTTGTTTTCTTCTCACCGTCTGTCTGCAGGAGTCTCCCAGCAACAAGCTGCTCTATGCAAAAGAGATTTCCACGTACAAGAAGATGGTGGATGAGTGAGTTTATAACACCATGTGTTCAGGCAGACGTTGAGCATTCATGTTATCATTTTTAATTTTCCTGCTAAAAGCCTCAAACACCTGAGTCTGTATTTACTGGACGTTTAGTTAGTGAGAAGATCTGCTGCTGAGTTCTGCGTGTTTTTCTTTCCTGCAGTTACTACAGAGGCATCAGGCAGATGGTTCCAGTCAGTGACCAGGACATGAACACGCACCTCGCTGAGGTGTCCCGGGTAAGAACCGCTTTCACTCCAGATCTGTTCTTCTTAGATGCTGGACCTAGATGCAGATTTGAATGTATTTTATTGAGATTGTATCTGACTGAGCAACATGACGTCATTTACAAGAATGAGAGGATGAATGATTTTAAATATTTACCCCAAAAGAAATCTGAAACTGTGGCATGGATCTGTTTTCTGGACTTTTATTTATCAGCTTTAAACATCGACACACTGAGAGTTTTATCAGCTGTTATTAGGCTATTAGCTGGACTTTGACTAGGCCATTCTAAAAGATCAATCAGCTTTAATCTAAAGCTCATGAGCTGCATAACTTTGTGGTAACAGCGCAAAGTTATGTAAACATGAGGAATCTGACCTTTAGAGAAATGATGCGAGGATCCTGCAGAGTTCCATCCACCATCTTTGATTTTTTTAGGACTGCAATCATCTTCTTTCTGTCTGTTCTGCGTCTCCATTCAGCAACACACAGACAAGCTGAACACCCAGGTGGCCTTACATCAGCTCTACCAGTACGCCAGCAAGTACTTCGACCTGGTGAGACGCTTTCTGCTCACTTCCAGCCAGAAACGTTCAGCAAGGCTGCAGATAAACGTTTGCGGGTTCAATTCCTAAATGATCTATTATGTTCTTCAGATCATCCAGTCGCTGGACGAGGACCCGGCCGCCCAGAACCGACAGCTCACGCTCCGCCTCCAGCAGGTCGCCGCCGCCCTGGAGAACAAAGTCACGGACCTTTGACCTCACAGAGGGGGAGGAGCTTATCAGCTTTGTTTTCCAGTTAAGGACTTAGATCAATCTGAGCGTACGGACTCATCCAACGTGTCAAGAGCCGGAGAACAGGACTGAGAGGAGGTTCTGGAAACGGAAGCACTGATTTATTTTATTTTATTTTTTCCTTTTTGGTACCTGGAGGCTAAATTCCCACTCAGCTTCCCAAAAACAGGAAAATCAAGGAATCAGTTCGAAATAACTGAAATTAATTCATTTTGAGGAAATTTATTTTTTTTCTTTGTGGACGTTTGGATTCAGCTGCTTCGGCATCCGACCACTTTCTGAAGTCTACAAGCTGTGGATAAAACGTAGACCTCCAGCGTCAGAAGGCAGTCTGACCTCGGATCAGCGGCAGAGATGGCGCCGGCGTTCCACGCTACGGACCGCTGACCTCAGCGGACGGCGGCTCCAGAAACATCAGCTGCTGTCGTTCTCCACACGGCGGCTCTGCGTTTCCTCTCTGACTCTGCTGTCGCTTCCATCATCAGCAATTAGCCACTTCCTGATCATGTGACCCCAACACTGAAAAATGAGACGGTTTTATCATCACTATCATGACGGCTGCATAGATCTACCTGCCATAGATTACCAGAATATCTGATCAGTTCCTTCAGTTTAATCAGCCCCAAAAAACAGCAAAAGATGAAAGTAAAGCCAGTCAATCAATGTTTATATTTTAAAAACATAAAAATGAAACCGAATCTTTGGGTTTGATGCACAGCCGCCACATCCTGAAACGAAAAAAAAAAAAGGGAAGAAAGCGGTAAATTTATGATTAAATTAGATCTAAGTTTTAGAGAAATGTTTGTCTGAGATCCTCATCAGGATATTTCAGTGGCGCTTTTCTACCACAGGGAGCGCTGTTGTAATTGGCTCACAGCTCAACTGAAAAACAATAAATCTGGATAACGGAGTTTGGACAAAACTGATAAATCTGTTTCCAAACCCGTAAAATTAAACTTTAAGGAACTGATTCAGTTTATTTGGTTGGATTTTTCTTTAATTAAAACATAATTTATAAAACATTTCCTGAATTTACTAAACAAAGAGCATCTGATCATGATTTATTTCCGTTTTTATTTTATTTTAAACCTCGGTGAATAATCCAAGCAGGTTTGTTGACATTTTACCGTAAATTCATTCAACAAAGATTAAAATTTGGCAAGGATTAGTTAAAGCCCCGCCCCCTCCAAAAGCAGCTCTGATTGGGTTCTAATTAGGCCCCGCCCACTTCAGTTGTTTCTATTCGTTTGAATCGTATTTAACATGAAACTGATTGAAAATAAGCAGCTCGTCATTTCAGGAGACCTCTTGGTTGATTTCCGCCTCATCCCGTCATGAAGCCCGTCTGTTTCGTCCCGCTAACCGTCTTTGGATCATGGAGGCGGGATAAGGAGAATCCGCCGCTGATCCCATGAATCATCCTCAGAAACTGAAGCCACTTTGGTGCCAAAAGCTCTGAACCGTTTCGCTCTAAGCTTTCTGTGTTTGTGTTTGCAGACATACGTGGGTCTAAAAGTTGTTTGTGGTACTTTCATGAGAACGTTTGAAAATGTGAAACTTCAGTTGCCGTGAAGCTCGGCTCTCTGCAGATCTTTGACGAAGCTTTGTGGTCATGTTTTGTTTTTTCGCAGGTGCGAACTCTAAATTCAGCCTTGGTAGGTTAGATTATAAACGGGGAGACGGTTCTTTCTCCTGCCGACGCTTGCTTCTCTCTGTCTTCTCTGTGCCGCCAGCGAGTGCCTTAAAGAGTTCAAGCAGAACGGAATCTGAAGGGAACTAGAAGTCGATCTCTGAGCGCTTCAGGCCTCATCAATCCACCGCCTGCTCCGTTTCAGGAGAAATCCTCAGCTTTTTTTTGTTTTTATTTGCTTAAATCTGGTAGCTGAAGCGACTTTGTGAAATGTTTGTGTTGTCAGAAGGTGGCAGATTGAACAGCAGGGGGCGCTGAAAGAAAAAGTCACAGAAGATAAATAACTTCTGACAGAGATGAAGAGTTTTTATTTTCCAATAGCTCACCTCAGGCGACCCGCTCGTTATGATCGCCACCTTATGACATCACTGAGCATCCCGCCTAAAGACGCAAACTGTGGAAATGTCTCTTTAGCGTCACAGTGTTTGGTCCCCTTCGACCTGAATCCTTTCAGCTGTTTGAAGCAGATCGTTGCTGCCAATAGAAACTCTGTCTGTCTGAGATGAAACGAGCTGAAGATCGATTTCTGTATTTCTGTGGTGTTAAACTTTCTTAAAGAACATTGTTAAGGTACACATGAACAAGCATGAATGTTTCTATAGAAATGACCTGTGGTACGTCCAGAAGCCCATCTAATGTGTGTTTCTACGGCTGCAAACGACTTTAAACCCCACGTCGCCTTGGTTACGGAGGCGATAAAAGAGGAACAGTTTGGATGGACCGAGCTTTAGACTTTGAAACGGACTCGAATGAGACGAACCGTTAGCAGAAGGGGTCTGAATTGGACCTAAACCCAAATCTGTGACTCTTCTGTTGAAGTGGTTTAAAAAAAAAATAAAATCCACATCTAGGAAGTCCAAATATCCAATAAAGTATGTTTATACAAATGGAAGAAAGTTCTCTGTTTCATTTGGTGTCTGTGAGCTTTTATAAGGAACCAGGAGCGTTTGAAGGCGGATGATGTCCAGGTTCATCATCTATGCACCTTTTAACAGATCCTATCCATCTGGCAGCCATGTTGGATTTTCAGGGAGGAATTAAGGAGGAACATCATAGTTGAATTTAAACTTTCCTTGTTAATGTTTAATTGTTTTTTTTCTCCTGATCTGAGAAATTCGGACAGCAGGTCAGAAAAAAGTGTTTATAAGAAAGAAAAAAATCAGTCCTCTAGTTTTTAATTAACGTCTAAATCAGTTTAGATCAAATTAAAAACCATAAAAAACAAAACTGTGATTTTAATTATTTTAATGAAGTTTGAATCATTTAATTATGGTTACAAACTAAAGTTTAAGGAAAACTTCATCTGTCTGGGTCGTACTATCAGCAGGAATCGGGGGTGGCCTCTGGTATTAGAACTTGCACCCAGACAAGAGATAAAAAAAAAATAATAATAATAAAGAAAGTTTTGGGTTAAATCTTTACATCATATCTTCACACAGTTTTCAGAACATCTGTGACATTTAAAGCTGGAAGAATCCTGTATTTTGGTTTTAAAGTGGACCGAACCAACGCTGAGCCTCCACAGCTGCAGCCAATTAAAACTCAACCTGCATCTTTTCTTCAGCTCCACAAACCTCAGGAACACAAGTAAGTTTTCACTTTACAGACTTACTTTGGGTTTTATTTTCAATGTTCTGAACTTAGTTTATTTGTATTTTTCAACAAAGTGAAACCAAATAAAAAAAATAAAAACTAGATTTTCTCTGAAGGTGGTTTGGCTAGAGGCAGGGAGCCCCCCCAGCAGGTTTAACAAATTCAGATTCAAATTCTCAGCTCTAAATTGATCTAGACTCTGTTTTCAGGTTTTACAACAACTGCTATGAATTAGTTAAATCAACTCCAAGTAGAAAAAAGTTAAAGGTATAATGGAGGATGATCTTTTTCTAGGTGGATCCTCTAAATAATTGGTCTTACCTGTCAATCATTGTGCTAATATGTTTACGTCAGGCGTGTGAGTCTGACATAGTGGGAAAAATTGCAAATCTACTTTTGGAAAGTAAGCTTGTATGAGCGATGCAAACGGCAACTTCTAAACAGAGCGTGCACGAGGAGAAACGTGACCAAAGGGGAGCAAAATCAGTGATCATCTGTCTGAACGGTCAGTTAACAGAGTTCACTATAAAGTTCACTATATAGTCCCTGCTCTATATAGCCTATTAAACACGTGCAAGAGCGTGCACGAGCCCATTTCTCCTCATGCACGCTCTTGCACGTGTTTAATAGGCGTTCCCTCTCTGGAGCGGGAACAGTGTTGTACATGTGGGTCTTTTCAAAAATACGTGTGTTGTCGGAAAACTTAGATTTGTCTTATTTCATATATTAATTAATGCTATTTACTGCCTATAAAAGTTTTCACTCAGTCTGTTTTTCCTTGAAGGCCACACCATTCTCTGGTGAGGCTTCTTGTAGACCAGACATAGCTTCTTCCATCTTTCTCAGGTTTATTCATAACATGTTACTGTTTAACCAAAGTGTCTGTAATTTGTTTTGACTCTATTTTCCATTGTTGTAAGTAAGGAGGAACGAACGCTGCTCAGGCCGAACAGGGCTGATTACTGTGCCATTAGGGCCGTATGATGAACTGTTCTCTCTTTGCAAAGATTTGATGAATAAATGTGCAGACTGAGTGAAATCCATCGATCTCCATATATCTAACTAGGGTGAATAGGGCTTGGGATCCGCGTTGCATTGTGGGATGTGGCGGCCATATTGACGGCTACGCAAACGTAAACATAGCTCTGATACAACGTTGTTGTTGAAAGAAGAGACGTAGAAGTAGAGAGAAAAAAGATGTTAAAATCCCGAAAAGGATCTGGAATTTACCAGGACACATTGAATAGACGAGCCAGGGACCGGTATGTCCAAGCTAGCCGACGACTCTTTATCTGTGACGCTTGGTCTCCATGGTTACGCCTCCAGGCAGGAAAGCGGTGGAAAGTTAACCCATTTTCTATGTTGTTCCCATGGCGATCATGTGTTACAGCCGACAATACAGCAACGGTTTACCATGGTTGAAATCAAGTTAAGGTGAAATTAATCAAATTAAAATCAAGTTAAGGTGAAATTAATCAAATTAAAACACGGCTGAGAGGGAGTACAGTATGCGGTAGTCATAGGCAGTAGTCTGAGCCGCGGTAAAGGAGGCCATCAACATGGCGGCCACACTAAGTAATTACGTCACGAGGCCTATAGTTGAATACTTTTTTTACCCAACTACAACGTGAAAATCCTCCATTATGACTTTAAGCGCGTGCGTCACAAGGCCATTCTTAACTAAATTTAATTTAAATTAAAAAGCTGTTCTTAACGAAATTTCTTTTTGTTAACACTTGTGTGTACAAAATGACAAAATAAAATCTAAGTCTAATTATCAGTGGAGCCCCGAAGTGACGAGTCACCGTGACAACAGGCAACAGGAAGAGTTTATTTCACTCCACTGGATCTAGAGGTTTTAGTGCAGAAAAAGGAGAATTTGTTTAAATGACAGAAATAGCTGCAAAGAATAGGAAGATTGTGAAGGAGAAGATTGCTGCTCCAATTAATGAGTAGGTTTAAATTAAGTGGGCTAGGGCAAGCCGTATTTACATTTATTTAAAAGCACTCCCCTCTCTGTTGTTCCAATTGTAGATCAGTAAAATAAGATTGTTCCTGATGAAAATAACACTCCTAGACTGAACTATAATATATTTTCTACATTGCATGTTTGCTGCAGAAACTGAATTTCAGAAAGTAAAAAAAAGAATATATATATACTAGTAACAATTTGGTTTTATATTCCTAGACATTTTTACATATTTTAAGTAGCCGTTTTGATATTTATCAGCTCTACAGAATATGTATTTATATCTGAAATACATTTCATCATTGTCAAAATATTACCAGCAACAATAGAAAATTGAAGATCTATATTTAATTTCTAGACAGAATGTTTTTTTTCTAGATGTGAAGAATGTCATTTAGTTTTAAATGGTAATTTTGACAATGAACAAATGTGTTTCAGATATCAGGAATACATATTCGATAGTACTATCATATATTAAAACAGCTTGCCATAGAGGGGTTTATTTCTTGAATGGCAATGAATCAATATATGCATTAAGATAAATTCACCTGGCAGCATGTGATGTTAAATTCTAGAAACATTATTCTAATATTTTTACACAGTAAATACTGTCTGTTTGCAGTCGCGTTTCAGATGTTATCGTCCCAATAAATGGTCATTATTAGAGGAATTTATTAACCTAATTTTTGTAATTAAAATATCTCTGTTCTTCATATACTGTAAAGTAATGATAAAATGTCTCAAACGGACATGCAATGTTTGATTTTAAAGCCTAATGTGTTTAACAGAGCTAATTATTTGTTTGATATTTCACAAAATTACGACAAAAGTCCAAATCAGGAAATAAACCGTGATTGGCTTTGATCAAACTTGATTTTATAATTGAACTAAAGGATCATTTAATATTTTACTAGTCTTCAAAAATTGGACAGGAAATAAGATTTAAATCAACAATAATTCAAATTAACCAGCATGTTTTTAACCTGAGTAAATTCTGACCTATTGCATTATAGAAATGCAACACCGCCCCCTAGTGTTGAATAAAATAAAAACACTCAGAACAGAGATTTAAGGTTTCTAGTTTTTTTAAACTCCAACAGCCACAAGATGAAATAATTTTCAGCTCAAACAAAATGCGAGTTAAAGGTTTATTCAGTAAAAAACAAACTACAGAAATCTTAGTAAAATCCATCTTATTCAAATAACTTTAAGTCTTAAATACAGATGTAGTATTTTGCATTGTTATGGCAATAAAGGTATTAATTCTGATGGTTTCATAGATTTACATGAGAAACTCATTCCAAAAAAAAAATGTACAATAAAATATTTATTCATTGTCAATTGTAGGAACGAGTTGATTGGCTGACGACAAATTAAAAGACAGATTTAAGCCGTCTGACATTTTTCAAAGCAAAACAAACAAGGTGAGACTTTTTTTTTTTAAATAAGTGACAACCATGGAGTGAACAAAATGTTTAAATAATTTCCCTTAAATTTGATCTGTAAAACCAGAGCAGAAGCACAGCTGACCAGTTCTTCCAGCAGAACATTCATGGCTGAGTCGTTCTTAGGAGGAAACGCTTCAGCTTTCGTTTAGAAAACTAAAACTTTCCATTAATGTTTAAAAAAAATCTATAAAGCCTGAACAAGAAGAGAAAACTTAAAGGAATAGTACACCCAAAACATGATTAGCCTTCATTTTCTACTCACCCCCATGCTGAACAAAACTCTGGAGTACTTTTTTGATATCTCAAATGCATCTGGAGATCTGGGAGGCTTCTTGCTGTCTGCTGACATTCAAATAATGGAGGTCTGTGGCGCCCGAGACAGAAAGGTCCACAAAAGTCCACAAAAAACGTGTCAATATTCCTCCATACTGCTCGTCCAATGTATTCCAAGTGTCCTGAGTGGGTAGCATCCAGAATTTACTCGAAACTAAGTCATTTAGAACATTTTAGAGCATAAACAGTAGTTTATAGGATTTCCTAATAGCGCCCCCATGCGCGCTCACGATTCTACGGAAGCCGGCAGACGAAACCGGAAGAAAGTGCGCATTCAGCGTCTGCTCTGCCGATAATGAAAGCGTAGAAGAAGAAATGTGCTGTTTACCTGTGCAAAGAAAGAAACAACGAAAGAAAAATGTCTGAGGACTTCAGTGTTGAGGAAGAGCATGAGTTCTTTGCCGAGCTGAATGCGCTGGTTTGGTCTGCCGGCTTCCGTAGAATCGTGAGTGCGCATGGGGGCGCTATTAGGAAATCCTATAAACTACTGTTTATGCTCTAAAACATTCTAAATGACTTCGTTTCGAGTAAATTCTGGACGCTACCCACTCAGGACACTTGGAATACATTGGACGAGCAGTATGGAGGAATATTGACACGTTTTTTGTGGACTTTTATGGACCTTTCTGCCTCGGGCGCCATAGACCTCCATTATTTGAATGTCAGCAGACAGCAAGAAGCCTCCCAGATCTCCAGATGCATTTGAGATATCAAAAAAGTACTCCAGAGTGTTGTTCAGCATGGGGGTGAGTAGAAAATGAAGGCTAATCATGTTTTGGGTGTACTATTCCTTTAAGAGCATTTTTGGCAGATCTCTTTACATTTAGTTCAAATAATCATTAAAATTAGACATATTTAAGGAAATTAATTTGCGTAGAGTAAATTGAAGCCCAGCTGTGAGTAAGTTCAGCTTTATTGTTGAACTGGAACATTCCGGGGGTCTGGAGGTGAGGTAGGTGGGCCGGCCGGCTGACGGACGACGACTCAGCTGAGGTAGGTGAGGACCACCGACTGGATGGGCATCCTGCACACCGGGCACAGCTTGTTCCTCTTCTTCAGCTTCCTGGCACAGATGTAGCAGGACATCAGGTGTCCCGTCCGGCCGTGGACGATGCAGCCGTTCTTCGGCCGCGACTGACAGATGAGACAGGGGTCCAGGCACGAGTCCGGCAGCCTGGACTCGGCCGACACGCTGCGCTCCAGCGACAGCGAGGGAGAACAGGGGAGGAGCTCCTGGGAGTCGCCTGAGGAGAAGGAAGATGAAGGCTGAGATTCAGAGCTTCTCCAGAGCTTCTCTTGAGAAGACGAGGAAGGCTGGGAGGAGCAGAGCAGGTCCTGCGAGTTCGGTGCAGACGAGTCGGACAAACCCTGGGAGTTTAGAGGACTTTTGGCTCTTTTTCCATCCGGAACGTCGACTCCTTCGCTCTCTTCCACATCCGACCCTTTAGAAGACAGAGCGAGTTATTTTCTGATTGTTTTCAGGTCATCAGGTTTGCTAAATACTGGACCAGCTACTCCCCCCTTCCAGAGACTGCAGGACATAATTGAACGCTAAGAAGTAAGCAAACGCTCTGCTCAACGAATTCTCAGAACAAAGAGACAAAACCAGACCTGAGAAAAACTATTTCTACTTTTTTAAATGTAATCAAAGTTTGGTTTTATTCCCAAACAGCCTAATTCCTCAGAAGGTTTTTCCCTTTAAGTTCAAATGGAGAAAAATGTAAGAAAGTGAAGCTAAAGCTAGCCTTTAGCTTTAGCTTCCAGTGTAAAACTCTTTCCTTTATTTCTCTCTTTTCTCCTCTAAAGAAACGAAAATGCTGGATGGACTAAAACACACCTGCAGCTTCCTTGGCAGCTGATTGGTCGGTTGGCTTTGACGGCAGTGCTTTGGGGTTGAAGGTGGCCTCAGGCAGCCAATCCTGACGGAGCTTCCAGCAGCGCAGACAGTGTCTGGGGAGCGGCGGGTTCAGCTCGTCACACTTGGCGCAGCGCCAGTAATCCTGGGAGGGAAACGCAGCGGCCTGAGTGAAGAGTGACGTCTGCCTTTCAGGTGGTGTTCCTGCGTCGACACTTACCGCCTCTGTGATCTCAGTGTCTTCATCAAAGGAGTCGTCGTCCTCAGCCTCGAAGATGGTGACCTCGTACACCTGAGGAGAAGGATTATTTAATACAGCAGGTAGCTGCAGCAGTTTATTCACGTCTTTTTCCTGTTTTCTATCTCTAAGCAGGAAACAGCATCTGGATCTTTGTGAAGCAGTCGGGTAGAGAAGCAGGCCTACCTCAAAGCAGACATGATATACGGCCATTTTGGGAAAAACGAGCAGAAAACAGGTTTGACACCAGAGAGGAAGCCCATTCTGCCATTTTAAAGGTATAGATCAGGCATTCCCATAGTGGGTCCTTGAGGGCAGCTGTCCTGCAGGTTTTAGACGTTTCTCTGCTTTATCACAGCTGATTGATTATTGTAGTTCAGAAAAAGCCTGTTAATCAGCTTTGGGTTAAATTAAGCTATGCTGGAGCAGAGAAACCTCTAAAACCTGCAGGACTATCCAGAGAACGATCTTTTATTTCCTAGCAGATCATCTCAATCAGTGGTCCTCCTAAAGGCCGATTTATACTTTGAAACCAGGTCGTCTGCGTAGGTGTTGCACTAAACAAAAAGACGTCGCTGCACCTCTCCTAAATTGTAGGTGACCGCAGACAGGAGGCCGGCTTGTTTTGTTCTCATGAAGTTTGACCAGCTAGAAGATCTGAGGCGTGCGAGAACGCTGGGACTCTTTTTCACCCTCATGTCCCTGCGTTGACGGACTAAAATCGCCCCCACTTCCTCGCCGCCTCGGCCGTATCTAGACCCACAGCGTGTAGCGCAGACCACGCTTCAATATTGAGCATAAATCAAAAATTTCTGCATCAAGCTCACTGCGACACACTGCTGCTGGAGTATAACCAGCCCTTAACTGTCAATCATTCTGGTGATATGTTTACGTAAGGCCGTCCTACGTGATCGACCCGTTAGCCATCTTTTTCTGCACACTTTCAGGCGTATATCTGAGCTACGGTTTCAGTCATTGAAGCTCACCTTTCTTAGCGCGGTTCTTTAAAAATGGCCGAGGGTCGTAAGAGGAAAAGTGTCTACGAAGTATATGAGAAGAAAAGAAAGGCTTCAGAGGAGGCAGATAAATCCCAGAATGCTTTGCGTGGAGAGCTCTCCTTGCAAAGCATTATGGGATTGCTATCACAGTGGCCAACAGTCGGGACTAAAAACAAAAATGGCGCAGGAACCGTGCGTTTCTGCAGGTTTAAGACGAATCTAAGACTTTAAAGGAAACTTTGATTTTAAAAAAGCTGCAACTAATGACTATTTTGAAAATTGATTAATAATCAGATAGCAAAAGGCGCCTTAAAGAAGATTTGTTACTAAATTAAAGGAGGTAAAACTAAAAGGTTCTGGATAGAGCACACAGATAGACCACAACATATTTCTCTAAATAAAAAATATTTACTTTTTTTATAATTTTGGTTTAATTCCTGCTCTAAGTGAGTCGCTCTGTCAGCTAAAGACATGTTTTACAGTGTAAGATTACTAAATGAATGGATTATTGAAATAATCAGGATTGTTTCAGCTCTTGATTTTAGATTTAATGAATTCAAAGAAAAACTTTCTAACTGAATATTTCTGTTTTTAAAGAGCATCAAACCTAAAACAGCAACACGCCTTAAAGAAATAATGAGAACTTTCTACAGGAACCAGGAAGGAAAGTTCCAGCTTTTGGTTGCCAGTCATCTGAAAATAGGAGAATGTCTGAATGTTTGAGACCTTCACCTGATCATCAGCAGACAGAGATGCGTCGTCCTCGTTATAATCGTCAGAGTCGACAGACTCCACCTCAAACTCGACGCTGAAGTTGTCGCTGTCCGAGTCTGAAGCGCCGATCGTCACGTCTGACCTGCCCGACTGAAGCGACACGGAGCCCTGGTTAGAAAACGGCCTCGAACATCCATAACCTCTGCGTCTGAGAGCCTCTCTCACCGTGCTGTGCGAGTCCGATGATTGGCTGCTGAGTCTGTCCCGCCCACTCCCCAATCCACCAATCACACACCACGACAGGCTGTCGTCAAACGTCAGCGAGTAGCTGTCCGAGCGCCGCCTCTTCCTGCTGTCATCTGACTCGTCGTCCTCTGCCGATTCCTCCTCCTCCCCCTCTGCGCTGTGGGAGGGTCCTGTGTGGGCGGGGCTTATGTCACACTGGTGCTGATTGGCTGGTTTAAAGCAGCAGGTGATTTAATGAGGAAACTCACCTGGATTCGTCCTCCGCCGCCGCCTTCTCTGGCCTGTAGAGGAGGAGCGGCTTTCTGAGGCTCCTTCCTGAAACACAATAAGAGAAAACGTCGATTTAGCAGCGATGAGCAGCAGGTTAGTGAATGAAACCCAATTACTCCAGTAGAAACATTTATTCCCACTTCTGGTCCCATTCAGATAAACTTGTTTCCTTTTTAATCACATTTTATACTTTAAGGTCAAACGTTTTCTTTCTGAATAAAACCTGAGAAAATAAAAGTTGTGATAAGAAGCTGTTTTCTTACCTCCGTCTCTCTGTCCGTCTGGCTGTTGGGACCTTCACTCAAGTCATTACATGAATCTATAAAAACAGGAATGTTGAACGTTTTAATCACATCTGGGTAAAAACATGAAATGGTTCAAAGGTTTTATTCCTAAAACGTTAAAATTGGCTGTTAAAAAAGAAAAGAAAATCGGATTTTCTTCGGTATAATCTCCGATCTGAGGTCAGTCAAGCTTCTGATTTTGTTTAACTCCATTTTTTTTCTTCACATATGATGTTTAGACTGTAAAAGGTTAAACTTTAAAAGCAGATCCTGCATCTAACAGCTGCATCAGACGCCTGGAAAGAACATCTAATTTAATGCGTCTCACTTCTGATGGGAAAAATGAAAGCTGCCTCAGAGGAAGGAAAAATGCTGATAAAGGAGATAAAGATCAAACTGATTGCATCTTTCTGGATCTAAAACAATCATCCTCAAGTTATAAAGTATAAACAGAGTTGTCTCCACCTGCCTGTCAGTAGAAAAACAAGCATTAAACACGTCTGATTTTAATCTGCTCTGGTCTGTGGTTCGCTAAGAGAACGAGTCTGAGGAGGAAGGAGACAGACGAGCTTCCTACCTTGGTTCTTCACGGCCACCAGGTTCTTTGTGATCATTGCGAACAAAACCCTGCAGCATCAACATGTTTTAGTTCCCAAACAGAAGCTTTAAAGCAGAAAGTGAGGATGAGAAACGGAGTCAGACTCACCGCGGCTCCTTCACAGAGAAGCTGTCGACGCCCAGAACTCGGCCCAGAGCGTCCTGAGCGCAGTGGACGATGTGCTGCTGCTTCGGGTCGTACAGCTGCTTCTGCATGATGTACTGACCCAGATAAAACATCACCTGGAAAGGACAGGTACCCACAATCCATCATGAGGGGGAAACGAGAGCATGGAGGAAAACCCAGTCGTGATCAGAAACGTTAACAACCTTCATCTGAAGGAAAAAGCAAAGAAACTGGACTGGAATTCATGTCCAGGACGCTTTAACTATTAGTTCATAAGAAAAAAGACGACCTTGTTTAGCTTCTATCATAGATTCTGTTTGCATCAGTTGCATCAACAAACAGTTTTCTCAGTTCCATAAATAATTAAAATCTTTTTTACATTGGAAGCTGCTCTAATTTGGGATCAGAACCGCAGAAGTTGGGCGGAACATTTCTCCAACCATGAACGTTGGATCCTGTCAGCGGATCCTTCATGGAGCTTCAACAAGCCTCTTCTGTTCCGCTCTGAGCCCAGCGGCTGAACGCTGGACACCATGTGAGGCGCTGAGGTTAGAAAAATCCCTTAAAAGTCTGAAAGCAGGTGGCATGTCTGTAGAATCTGCTCTTGTTCAATCCTTCTTTGGGGCTTTTTCAGTTCAGCGGCGGAACATCGTCACTAAATGCTAACAGAAAGATTAAAGGACAACAACCACAGCGATGATGATGATTATTTAGCTTCAATCTTTGGGCTCTAAAGCTGTAAAATGTTATACATGTTATCATCATCTATGAACTGCAGTCTCAATAATTATATATGCATTGCCATAGAAACAGCTATTTCTGATCATATGGGAGCGAGTCGTGTTTGTATGGAGGCAGACATCTTTGCGATACGGCGGCGCCGAGCTGAGAACGACTGTAGATCGTTTACGCTCCGATGGGACTGCAGAAAGTTAAAAACAAGCAGCCTGAACTTCAGAGTAAGCAGAGATTTACGGGTCAGAACAGCTGATCAGTGGGCAGCAGCACTTTATGGAAAAAATAAACTAGAAATATTTAAATAAAGGTAATTATCAGCTGTTAAAACTCTTATTATTATTTGGCCTCATAAAATGACACAATAATCTAAATTACAAGCTTTTTTTTGACCAAGGGATTATTGTAATTATCAGTTGATGTATTTTTTTATTAAGGAAGAATTCACTTTTCATATTTAAAGAAATCAAACAATCCAAACAAATGTGAGAAACAGTTTCCTGAAAGAACAAATTTACTTTCAACTTATATACCTGCTTATTTATGACATTAAGATTTTAACATTTAGATTTAAACGTTAAAACAGTTTTATCATCCTGTCTTTTTCTGTGTATATGTAATAATAAAAATTAGCGGAGGTTATCAAACTATGGGAGCGGACTTTTATCGGGCGATAAAACAACATGGCAGCTGGGTCTAAACTGATGGTGACTTTCACCTTGATAGTTTAGTGCGGATGTTTATCTGGAGGTGAGAATAAATTTTCCTACCTGTGTAGGCGTGCTGTGAAATTACAATATTCAACATGGATGCTGCAGCCCAGGCGGCCACAGGTGACCCATCTAACAAAGGCGAACTATCATGAGGAGAAAACATGACCAGAAAGCCGCAAAAGATGAGAAGTTGGTGGAGGCGACGGTTCAGCACTGATGGACCATTGGACATCTGTCAACATTGAGAACCAGCTGGGAATTTATCTCCTTCGCTTTAGGTAACGCTATAGTTCTAAATTTGATTTTACCAAGAAACCATGAAGGATTACGACATTACGTGCATTCTTGATGGTTTCTTTGGTGAATGTGAGTAAAGTCGGACGCTTTATGAAACTGTAGCTTCTCAGGTATTTATTTAGCTTATTTCCTCTCTAGAGGTAGAGTGAGGATAGATTGTTAAGAACCTCGGGATCGTCGCATCATAAAAGACATTCTAATCACAGATGTTAGTATTATCCTAAAACGCTGCTGCCCCAAAGTCACATTTCTGGAGACATATCGTTAAAGTGGGACATCTAGAATTGGAAGTGGGACGATATTTTTTGCACCAAAACACAGAAATAAATGAGCAAAAAAAGTATAACTGTAAAAATCTAAAGTAAGAATTTTAACAAAAAAAAAGTACATTTGTTATTTTAAATTCTGGAGGTAGAACAGACATCATGAAAGCCTTTGGCAGAATTCAAATGAGTGAATTTGAATCTAGTTTAATCTGGATTAATACCAAGATTACAGTGAAATTTATCTAGATTAAAAGCTAATCTATGCCCACAACTAATAAAAATATACAAGTTTTTAAATTCTTAAAATAAGTTAATCAAAAACACATTATTGAAACATTCCGACGTAAAAAGAAATCAAAGTAATTTATTTTGCTAATTAACTTTAAGTCAAAAGATTACATCGTCTTCACAAGAAAATATTCTTAAAAGTTCCGTCTTTCAGTAGGAAAGACGGAACTTCATGCTATAAACAGCAAGAAGAAATAAACTGACAACAAGACAACCGGGACCCGGTTCGATCCCCACAGCCTTCACTCTGGGTTCCTGAGAAAAACTCTTAACCCCTGATTGCTTCCCGGGGCGCCTCACAATGGCAGCCCCCTGCTCCCCAAGGGGAGGGGTTAAATGCAGAGAGGGAATTTCCCTTATTGTGGGACAATGAAGGGATTTACAGTTACTGAAAGGAGAGCAGCAAAACTAAAAGCTCCTTTTAATCCAAATTGTTAAGTTTGCACCTGCAGCTAAAGTCACATGATCTGCATCATTACCACATTTAAATAAAGTGTTGGCGTGAGGCACCTCTGGTCAAACATTTCCAGAAAATCAGTTGATCCTGATAACAAACCAACAATGTTCCATTTCTTGTGTTTCTGTCTTCAGTAAAATAACTCTGGACTTATGGAGTCCAATGCTGAGGCTGTCAACCACTGCTGCCACCCTCTGGTATACAGGGGAACTGCTTGTTCCACCAAATATCTCAATCTCATAATAGAGCACCTTAAAAATGTTTTCCATCCAGATAATGATCTGGATCATCACCAAAACTTAAAGGATTGTTTTTTGCTATGAGCGACGCCTCTGATCAAATGCTACAAGAACGGTACTTAAACAGAAGCAGAAAAATATTAACATTTTAGCTCTAAATGAAAAAAGTAAACCAATGGGATTTATTATTCGGTTGTTTAATCTTAAACCTTAACCTTTCGCTACCTCTTATTTCTGGCCTCTTGTTTTTTTGTCCATAAACTGTTTAAAACTTCCCAATTAAATCTATTCTATAAAAAGTAAAAAAACAGAACCAAAGATAAAAGAAGCTACAGGGGTTCTATAGTAATAATTTTCCTGAAACTCTAAATGATGAGGTCTTTTACCTCCTTCATGGTGAAAACATCTTTGGTGGCTCCGGCGTGTTGGAGCAATGAGCAGAACTCTACCTTCGGTCTTACCTGAACACAAACAGGTAAAAAAAAACAGTCAGACTTTGAAAGCAGGAAACAGGGACGCCTGAAATGACGGCCGGCTGATCTCACCAGTTTGTTTTGGTTGGTTGTTTCTGCGCTGAGCTCCCCGTCGGCTGACATGGCGAAGCCGTTTGTCGTCTGCATTTTAGAAGAAGCAGAAGAGGAAGATTTCAGAAGGATTCCAATTTAAAAATAAAAGCCTTTTTCCTCCTTTATCCCAACATTTGGCACTTTGAACTGTTTTCTGGTGGATTTTAGAGCTTCCTGCTGTAGAGGGTAAAATCCTTATCTGGAGGCTGTTAAAGCTATAGTGGAGGACGTTCTTTTTCTGGGTGGATCATCTAAATAATTATGCTGTCAATCATTCTAGTGAAAAACGGGTACTGAAGTAAAACAGCTTACTTCTGTTCCTGTTTTCCACCTACCTGTGGCGAGTCGGACATAGTGGAAAAATAGCAAATCTTCTTTTGGAAACTAAGCTTGTATGAGCAACGCAAACAGCAACTTTTAAACAGCGTGCACGAGGAGAAACGTGACCAAAAAGGAGCAAAAACAGTGATCATCTGTCCGAACGGTCTGTTAACTGAGTTCACTATAAAGCCCCCGCTCTATAGAGTGATGGAGGATTTAGGGGTTAAGGCGGACGTTCACAATAAGCTTCTATGACCTATGAGAACAGCAACTTTTAAACAGAGCGTGCACAAGAAGAATTGGGCTCGTTCACGCTCTCGCACATGTTTAATTGTCGCTAAGGGTTGTGCATGTGCATTTTTTTTTAAAGTGGAGAGGACGGGTCTTTTCAAAAATGTGCAAAAATCCTCCACTATACCTTTAATATGAAAATTACAGGAATGAAAAGCCTGAAATATCTTATGTATCTGGGAGGAGGGACAAAAAAAACAGACTACAGCTTCATTATTCACCTGAAAAGGAAATAATTTTATAACTAGGTTTGTTTCCTTTTAGTTATAAAGTCTTTTAAAGGGGTCCAGTCACCTATTATACACAGAAAAAGATCACTTAAAGCTTACTCATGCCATTCATTCGCAATATCCTATATCCTGTCTTGTGTTCTTATTATAAGAAAAACCCCTACGATTACTTTTGCCAACAAATAAAAAGAAGTGGAAAATATTGAAATAATACAAAATAAGCCATCAGAGGGACGTTTAATAATAAAAAACATTGTATAAAACTATGCTTCAAGTAAGAGTATGTGATAAAGGCCCTTTAAACATTTACAGGAAGATTAAAAAGTTGCAGGAAAACAAAATGTTTTATAGTTAAAATTGTTTCCCAAAAAGAGCTAAACACATTTTTGAACACTGGATAAAACAGCAAAAAATGAAAACAATACGTTAACCTGTGATTAAAAAAGTAAAGAAAGAAAATGATAAATTTTAGTAAAATAAAACTGCCCGAATATTGTAAAATAAAAGTTTAGAGATAAAGGTAAACAGTTTAATAAAAAAATAAAGATCAACTGTTTAACAAAGCTCTTCTTATTAGTTGACACATTAATTTAAATTATAAGCTATCTTTTGACAAAAGGATTATTTTATTTATTAATTTCTTGATGTGTTTTTACCAACAAAACAAATGCAAGAAATACTGAAGATGATTTCCTTAATTAACAAATTTACTTTGAACTTATTTACCTGCTTATCTATGACATTATGAAGAATTTAACATTTAGATTTAAACATTAAACCTTTAATTCAGTTTCATCCTCAAGTCTGTGCGTATATGTAATGATAAAGATAATAAAATGTTTTTGAATTCTTTAAATCAAAATGATCAAAATACATTAAACACTAACACGAAAATAAATCAAAGTAATTTAATTCGCTAATTATTTTCCACATAAGACTTATGAAGATTTTTTTTAATCAACCATTAATCATCAATTTGCACAATTAAAAGAAATTCAGTTAACAAATATATTTTTTTTATCATTACTTTTAAGGAAAAGAATAGAAATAAAATAAAAAGATTAAAACGCTTTCCAACAATTGATTAAAAATGATCAGAGCTCATTTAACCAAACTAGCAGAAATAAGTCTGGAATAATCTGGCTGTAAACTGTTTCCCAAAAACAGCTAAACTCACTTTTTAACACTGGATAAAACAGAGCTTAGAGAACAGAATTTATTCCTACCTGTATTTAAAGAGGATTTGGTCCTAGAAGCCCATCCTGTGCAAAGAAAAGCAGATAAAGTGCATTGAGAGAGGAGCAGAGCAGCAACTCGGCCTCTTATAGTCCAACTCGGACATGTTGGGACTAGATCAGCCAGGGAGGACCTATCAGCCTAGGCTGAGTCAGCAGCAGGAACCACATGTTCAAATTGACTGGAACAGCTGATTCAATCATCTGGTTTTGGTGTGAGCAGACATGCCGGGACTAGTCCAGGGTGAGTCATCACTGCCAAAGATTAGCTAACCATGACAACAAGTCCTGTGGTCGCACTAACCAGCAGTAACCAGAACCAGAGCAAAAATGGATTACATAAAAAAACCTTCTAGGTTGTCTTAATCTGAGGCTGATCTCAGTTTATTATGGAACAACAAGATGAAGAAGTTCATTCATTATTTATTTTGGCAGCACATCAAAGGATATATAACAGCTATAAAGGAAACGGTTTCTCCTAATGACTGTTTTCAACATAAACATGAACTGATAAGTTTTTATCAGCATCTAATCCACTGGATTTTATTTTCAACATTAAAAAGAGGTTATTGAAAGAAAAGAAACTGTAAACAATACATTAACTTGTGATTAAAACAGTAAAGAAAGAAAATTATATATTCCAGTTAAAAAACTGCCTGAATATTGTAAAATAAAAGTTTAGAAATAAAGACAAACATTTACGTTAAGGTAAAGATCAACTGTTAAACAAAACTCTTCTTATTAGTTGGCTTCATATAATGAGACTTTAATTTAAATTATGCTATTTTTTGACCAAGGGATTATTTTATTCATTAGTTGATGTAGTTTTAAATAAACCAAACAATCCAACGAAACAAATGCCAGAAATACTGAAGATGATTTCCTGAATTAACAAATTTATTTTTAACTTACAGGTGCTGGTCATAAAATTAGAATATCATGAAAAAGTAGATTGATTTCAGTAATTCCATTTAAAAAGTGAAACTTGTATATTATATTCATACATTACATACAAACTCATATATTTCAGATGTTTATTTTGTTTAATTTTGATGATTACAAATGACAACAAATGAAAATTTCAAATTCATCATATCAGAAAATTAGAATATTGTGAAAAGGTTCAAAATTGATGGCCCCTGGTGCCACACTCTAATCAGCTAATTAACTCAAACCACCTGCAAAAGCCTTTAAATGGTCTTTCAGTCTAGTTCTATAGGCTACACAATCATGGGGAAGACTGCTGACTTGACAGTTGTCCAAAAGACGACCATCGACACCTTGCACAAGGAGGGCAAGACACAAAAGGTCATCGCTAAAGAGACTGGCTGTTCACAGAGCTCAGTGTCCAAGCACATTAATAGAGAGGCGAAGGGAAGGAAAAGATGTGGTCGAAAAAAGTGTACAAGCAAGAGAGATAACCGCACCCTGGAGAGGATTGTGAAACAAAACCCCTTCAAAAATGTGGGGGAGATTCACAAAGAGTGGACTGCAGCTGGAGTGAGTGCTTCAAGAACCACCACACACAGACGTATGAAAGACATGGGTTTCTGCTGTCGCATTCCTTGTGTCAAGCCACTCTTGAACCACAGACAGCGTCAGAAGCGTCTAAAGAGAAACAGGACTGGACTGCTGGTGAGTGGTCCAAAGTCATGTTCTCTGATGAAAGTAAATTTTGCATTTCCTTTGGAAATCAAGGTCCCAGAGTCTGGAGGAAAAGAAGAGAGGCACTTCATCCACGTTGCTTGAAGTCCAGTGTAAAGTTTCCACAGTCAGTGATGGTTTGGGGTGCCATGTCATCTGCTGGTGTTGGTCCATTGTGTTTTCTGAGGTCCAGGGTCAACGCAGCCACATACCAGGAAGTTTTAGAGCACTTCATGCTTCCTGCAGCTGACCAACTTTTTGGAGATGCAGATTTCATTTTCCAACAGGACTTGGCACCTGCACACAGTGCCAAAGCTACCAGTACCTGGTTGAAGGACCATGGTATCCCTGTTCTTAATTGGCCAGCAAACTCTCCTGACCTTAACCCCATAGAAAATCTATGGGGTATTGTGAAGAAGAAGATGCAATACACCAGACCCAACAATTCAGAAGAGCTAAAAGCCACTATTAGAGCAACCTGGGCTATCATAACACCTGAGCAGTGCCACAGACTGATCGACTCCATGCCACGCCGCATTGCTGCAGTAATACAGGCCAAAGGAGGCCCAACTAAATACTGAGTGCTGTACATGCTCATACTTTTCATGTTCATACTTTTCAGTTGGCCAACATTTCTATAAATCCTTTGTTTTTATTGGTCTTCAGTAATATTCTAATTTTCTGATATGATGAATTTGAGATTTTCATTTGTTGTCATTTGTAATCATCAAAATTAAACAAAATAAACATCTGAAATATATGAGTTTGTATGTAATGTATGAATATAATATACAAGTTTCACTTTTTAAATGGAATTACTGAAATCAATCTACTTTTTCATGATATTCTAATTTTATGACCAGCACCTGTATTTAACTGCTTATCTGACATTATGAAGAATTTAACATTCAGATTTAAACGTTTAAATCTGTTTAATCATCAGGTCTGTGTATATGTAATGAAAAAAAAAAATCAAACGTTTTCAAATTCTTTGAATCAAATTGATCAAACTACATTATTTAAACACTGACACGAAAAGAATTCAACTTAATTTTTTTCTCTAATTATTTTGAAGTAAAAAATGTTACATCATCTTCACAAGAAAATATTTTTTTCCAAAAAGATATATAATATACATATAGCATCTTTATCTATAAAAATAAAATCCTCAAATATTTATGAACATTTTTTGTCAACCTTTAATCATCAATTTGCACAATTAACATTTACTTCCAGCAACTAAAAGAAATTTAAGTTAACAAAAGTATATATATATATATATATATATATATATATATATATATATATATATATATATATATATATATACTCTTACGTTACTTTTAAGGAAATTAAATAATTATTAAAACTATTTCCGACAGTTGATTAACAATTATTAGAGCTCCATAAACGAAAATAAGTGTGGATTTCTCAGACTGTAAAGGATTAACAGGAGCCGCTAGCTGCAGGCTAACAGCTACAGGCTAACAGCTGCTGGCAGATTTGCCCGGACTTGTTCCGCTCCCTCCTCCCACTAAAACACTGAAACGGACCGGCCCAAACAGTCTCAACAACTCTTTCCTAAACTTAATTCACGATTAATATTCTCTGCTCAGTATATTCCCTAAAAGAATATCCGAACAAATAGAATTTAAAATGCTGTTATGCTAGCACAGCCGTTACAAACAACTTAAAACCTTATCTTTGACTTTAACTCTGAATATAGATGATATTTCGGTTACATTATATAAGATTTCAAAAACAATTGATTTTAGTAAAATAGGAAGTCTTTAAACTTCGAAAAAAAAAAAAAATTAACGCAAGTTTGTCGCGCCACTCCAGTGCGGATCGCTTCAGCTAGGATACTCCGAGGCTGTGCGGCCTACTTATGCTAGCTCTCAGACAACATAGCATTCTGCTAAAATTACAACGTGGAATATATCAGTAATAGTCCCGATTAAACTCACCTTAACTGTAGATCAGACGAAGGCCTCACGACGCTATTAAAGACTTAATTTATTTACCTTATTAACGAAAAGCTTCCCAACGATTACGAGCTTACTTTAGTTCCTGTTGGTCTAAGTTAACCTTCGTTCAGTGCCCCCTAGTGGCCGGGGTCTATGGTTACATTAATTCATTTAAACAGTAAAAATAATTGAAGTTACATAAAAAAAATTATCCTTTTAATAATTTGACATTACTATGACGAAATTTCACAATGTTGAAGGAACATTGCATTTAAATGTGATTCTTAATCAATTTAATAATTGCTGGAACTTATGTTTTTGGGGTTTGCTCCAGACGTCGATGCTGCAGCTTCCTGTGGATGAAGTACTCAACAATAGTAGTTAAGTAAAAGTATTGATACTCATAGTCAAATCTTACTTAACCACAAGTAAAAAACACATCAAAAATCAAGTTAAAATACCTAAGTACTCACTTTTGAAAATACTTAAGTATTCAAAATTACTTGATTCTAAAAGTATTTATTCAAAATTGCAAATGAAGTACTTTTTTTATATCAGTACATTTCCATATAATTGTCAGAGTAATTATAAAGAACCTGTAACCTTTAGAAACCATCTGATGTGTTGATGCGTAGAACCACCTGCTATAGAATTCTGGAAAGAATTTCAGCATAAAAATGCCTTAAAAAATGGAAAGCTATATTGATAATTATTTACTATTTAAAAACAAAAGAAAAAAAAACAAGGTGTCTTTATTCTCACATTTTGACTATAGAATAGATGTTTAAAGTTGAATCTATAACTACAAAGACACAACTGACTTAGAAACTCATCACAATCTGGCCACATGGCAACACCTTAATAAAATGTACAGGTGCTGGTCATAAAATTAGAATATCATGAAAAAGTAGATTGATTTCAGTAATTCCATTTAAAAAGTGAAACTTGTATATTATATTCATACATTACATACAAACTCATATATTTCAGATGTTTATTTTGTTTAATTTTGATGATTACAAATGACAACAAATGAAAATCTCAAATTCATCATATCAGAAAATTAGAATATTACTGAAGACCAATAAAAACAAAGGATTTATAGAAATGTTGGCCAACTGAAAAGTATGAACATGAAAAGTATGAGCATGTACAGCACTCAGTATTTAGTTGGGCCTCCTTTGGCCTGTATTACTGCAGCAATGCGGCGTGGCATGGAGTCGATCAGTCTGTGGCACTGCTCAGGTGTTATGATAGCCCAGGTTGCTCTAATAGTGGCTTTTAGCTCTTCTGAATTGTTGGGTCTGGTGTATTGCATCTTCTTCTTCACAATACCCCATAGATTTTCTATGGGGTTAAGGTCAGGAGAGTTTGCTGGCCAATTAAGAACAGGGATACCATGGTCCTTCAACCAGGTACTGGTAGCTTTGGCACTGTGTGCAGGTGCCAAGTCCTGTTGGAAAATGAAATCTGCATCTCCAAAAAGTTGGTCAGCTGCAGGAAGCATGAAGTGCTCTAAAACTTCCTGGTATGTGGCTGCGTTGACCCTGGACCTCAGAAAACACAATGGACCAACACCAGCAGATGACATGGCACCCCAAACCATCACTGACTGTGGAAACTTTACACTGGACTTCAAGCAACGTGGATGAAGTGCCTCTCTTCTTTTCCTCCAGACTCTGGGACCTTGATTTCCAAAGGAAATGCAAAATTTACTTTCATCAGAGAACATGACTTTGGACCACTCACCAGCAGTCCAGTCCTGTTTCTCTTTAGCCCAGGCAAGACGCTTCTGACGCTGTCTGTGGTTCAAGAGTGGCTTGACACAAGGAATGCGACAGCAGAAACCCATGTCTTTCATACGTCTGTGTGTGGTGCTTCTTGAAGCACTCACTCCAGCTGCAGTCCACTCTTTGTGAATCTCCCCCACATTTTTGAATGGGTTTTGTTTCACAATCCTCTCCAGGGTGCGGTTATCTCTCTTGCTTGTACACTTTTTTCGACCACATCTTTTCCTTCCCTTCGCCTCTCTATTAATGTGCTTGGACACTGAGCTCTGTGAACAGCCAGCCTCTTTAGCGATGACCTTTTGTGTCTTGCCCTCCTTGTGCAAGGTGTCGATGGTCGTCTTTTGGACAACTGTCAAGTCAGCAGTCTTCCCCATGATTGTGTAGCCTATAGAACTAGACTGAAAGACCATTTAAAGGCTTTTGCAGGTGGTTTGAGTTAATTAGCTGATTAGAGTGTGGCACCAGGGGCCATCAATTTTGAACCTTTTCACAATATTCTAATTTTCTGATATGATGAATTTGAGATTTTCATTTGTTGTCATTTGTAATCATCAAAATTAAACAAAATAAACATCTGAAATATATGAGTTTGTATGTAATGTATGAATATAATATACAAGTTTCACTTTTTAAATGGAATTACTGAAATCAATCTACTTTTTCATGATATTCTAATTTTATGACCAGCACCTGTATATACGGTACTACAAATAATATCTACTCTGAGTTTCTGACATTTGTGGAATGTCATTAAATTTCTAAAACAGTGGCGTCCAGATTCAGTCCTAAAGGCTATCTGCTGTGATGAAACTGCATTTCAAGAAAAACAGCAGCAGTTAATTAAATAAGTTAAGCTGAGCCAAAAGGAACAAGCATCTTCCAAGAAATGTAGTGGAATAAAAGTTCTAAATACCCCAAAAAAATAAAAAATTCAAGAAAAGTAAATATACTCAAAAAGTACTTAAGTACAGTAATCAAGTACATGAACTGTGTTACTTTCTATCACTTTAGGTCTGGAGAAGATTCTAAGCAAATTTATTTAAACTAACCACTCATCAAATTACATAAACAGAAATAATCCTGGATGTGTTTACAGCATAAAGAAGGTCTATCTTACTTCACTCTCTATTGTTTTAGAATAATCAGATTAAATCAGCATCTAAAAAGGCCTAATATTGATAGATGTTCCCTGAGTGTATGTCCTGGATCAACTTGGACGGAGCTTTCCCAAAACTTGCAGCAATCAGTTATGCATGACATTTTACGGCAAGGAGCATAATTTCCTAGATTGAGAATCTGAAGGCATTTATTAGTCTTTAGACGGTGATGTAGAGGGAGTCAGGCTATTCTGAAACAAATATACCGTATTTTCACGACTATAAGGCGCACTTAAACGTGTTTTTTTCCCCTAAAAATGTGCGGTGCGCCCTATGGTGCGGTGCGCCCTATGTGTGTTGTAACTGCGACTTTTGAGACCACCTCATTGAGGAGATGATGAAAGAGTGGCTGAATGTAAGGAGACCAGGTGGTTTTTTTTCCACTCATCACCATCGCTGTTAATATGTAACTCCATGCGTGCCCATCTCACAGCTGATGTGAAAAACATGGGGAAACAAATTAACGCTGTGCTCGCTGTTCAACCGCTCGACATCGGTGTGAACCGGACCCAGCAGGTGCAGCAGAAGCAGCGAGTTTACATGCAAAGTCAATGGTTGACGCGCGTATAGGTGCAGCAAAAGGTCCTGCAGCGCGTTTTGAGCAGCAGGAGCGTTTAAGCATCTGCCAACGCGCTGCAGATGCGCAAAAATTTAAGTTTTGCTGCTGGACGCGCCGCATCAACCAATCAGAGAAGCTGATCTGGGAGCTGACAGCGAGACAGACACATCGCTCTGATGACATATAATATTAAAGCAAATGAAAAGGGCTGGATGGATGAGGAGATGATGAAAGCGTGGCTGAGGGAGGTGTATGTGAGGAGACCAGGTGGTTTTTTCCACGCATCACCATCGCAGTTAATCTGTGACTGCGTGCCCATCTCACAGCTGATGTGAAAAAAAAGGTGAATCAAATGAACGCTGTGCTCGCCGTTATCCCGGGGGTCTGACAAAGGAGCTTCAACCGCTCGACATCGGTGTGAAGCGGCCGTTCAAAGTAAGGCTGCAAGCGGCGTGGGAGCGATGGATGACAGACGGAGACCACAGTTTCAGGATAAGGGGAAGGCAGCGCCGGGCAAGTTACGCCACCGTTTGCGGATGGATTGTAGATGCTTGGGCTAACGTGTCTGCTGGCTCTGTTGTTCAAGCTTTCGCAAAAGCCGGCATTATTTCTGAGGAGCCGCACTGCACGGAAAGTGACTCTGACAGCGAAGAAAGGGAAATTGGCATGTCTGATTTAGCGCAGCTGTTTAATTCAGAAACAGAGGATGATGACTTTGATGGGTTTGATTAATATTTTGTAATAAATACATGAATAAAGCACAATCATACTCAGTTTTGCTCCCGCTCTATTTTTCTCCCTGAAAACTTAATTCAACAGCAGCCTCTGGGCGCGTCTCCTCCTCTTCACCGCGGTGGCTGGCAGGTGTTTTTCATCTAAATAATCTAAATCTTGCAGCTATATTTGCTGTGATCAGTGGGAATAAAGTAGTTTTATTATGTTTTTAAGTGAGAAAGGCCACCTGGAAACTTAATAATTGCAGTCAGTTCATCCAGATTATCTATTTCTGTCGGAGGCGCTCAGACCCCCACATACCAGCGGTGCGCCGACAGTAGAAATCCCTTCAACAGCAGCAGCCTCCGCGGTGAACCAGCCTCCAGGTTCACCGCGGCGGCTGGCAGGTGTTTTTCATCTAAATAATTTTAGCTGCAGGCACCAGGATACCGGTAATAAAAGCAAACATATTCCGTCGGCAGGTTTCAGGATTTTAAGTTAATTTAGGAGTGACCACAGCGCTGTGTCATCTGCGATGTGTCTGTCTCACGGCCAGCTGCCAGGTTTGATTAATACTTTGTAATAAATACATGAATAAAGCACAGTCATACTCAGTTTTGCCCCCGCTGTATTTTTAAATACGCAGTAGAGCTATTTAAAGGTTGTAGAGGACATGTACCTGTATATAAAAAACGCGCCCTATAGTCCGGTGCGCCTTATGTGTGTGTTAAATACAGAAATGGGACACATAACTGAGACTGCGCCTTTTCGTACGGTGCGCCTTATGGTCGTGAAAATACGGTATATGTTTAAAGGAACCAAAGGAGAAAAAATAAATAAATCACAACTCTACAAGAAACAAAAGCTTTTATTTAGGAAAAAACAAAAACAGCTAATAAACATACCAGTTATTTAAACAATGTTTTCAATTTCTGTGCATTTAATTTCAATAAGATCACGGCTGTAGTTCGTAGCCCAGTGGGTCTAGTCCTTGATCCAGCAGCGCCAGGGACGACTCCCGCAACTTCTGAAGAAACCTTCTCAGCTCCTCCTTAGAGAAAACCTGCAAATAGACAATTTATTTGACCAATTTTGTCGTTTGAAGGAGCAGCAATCCCTGTCCCAGAGTGGAGCGCTGACATTAACAGGCAGCCAAAGGCAGGAAGCTGAAGCTCCCTTCACCTTTCTCAGGGTCACATTAAGAAAAGAACAGTTGGTAAAGAAAGCAGCTTCAGACTGCTGTGCTGAAGCTGGGCTGCATTTATATGGGAACACATGAGGTCGCTATGCTAAATGCCTATGCTTCCTATGCTTCCTACCTCCTTACATGCTGCCAGCCCTGTTTGTACCGCACTTATCATGGCGACCGCCGACACTCTTATGCTTTGGCTTATGTGTCGTACTGATTTGCCTAATTTGGATTAAGCCTCCTGTTACCTGGTAAAGTTTATGCTGGTCAGATGAGATTATGTCAGCGAGTCGCAGCGCCTCCTGGTGCCGGGAGGAGCTCTGCAGCACGCTGAGCAGAAGAAAGGTGAGGCGGGGGAGACACAGAGAGCGCAATGCTGCCATCTGGTGGCTCCGCTCTTCGTCTGGCTCAGACTCCTGCAAAAATATTTGGTTGCTCGTATTAGCTACCTCTGCACCGTTAAAGTAAAGCTCTATAAATAAATCATGCAGATTAAACCATAAACTTAAAGGGTATAAAACATCATGTTACAGAACCTCTCTGTTGTCGACCATCCATCCTCCATCTACAAACAGCAACACGTTGTAGATTCTCTCTTTCACATCTTCAGTCAGGACATCGAGGCGGCTCGACCAGGCAGCCATGGTGGCCTAAAATTAAAAAAAATAATTTTGACCCGACACTTCAATGGGCTTTTTTGGTAATATTTAATACTTTTTTAATCACAAATGCTAATTGCTATAACTTGATTAATCTTTATCCTGCTGTGAAAGTTTTCAAAAAACATGTTGGGACTAAAACCTTCAACTGTTTATAATCATAAAAGCAGCTGCTAGCAGTTTTCCTCAGAACCTGCTGCAGAGCTACACAACTACCTAAAACATTACAGGGTTTATACAGGAATGAGTAACTCTAATTTAATACTTTTAAATGCTGCAGCCATGTCCTCGATTTCCCAGCCACTTTGGATGAAATTAGCATTTTCCCCCATTCTCTAGCTTTTCTCAGCCTAAAGCTTCTTTTCCAAACATTCAGCTTTACGATCAACTGGAAACGGTTCCGTTCAAACGCGCAGAACCAGTTATATCTGATATATTTGACGACATTTTTAATCATTTTTATTTATTTATTTATTTTAAAGCATTTAAAATTCCACAATAATCACATTTAATGAATTTTAATGCAATTTAAGGCCTTAATTAAAAAAAATAATAATTTAATGACCCATGGAAACCCTGCATTAACATCTCCCAAAACCCTCATTGATGTTCTGGGTTTTATGTTCCCTTAAATGAGCCATTAATGGAGCTTTTGCTAACTTAATCAGTATGTCTTTTTTTTTCTCTCCAGATGAGATCTCCCGTTTTTTTTCTCCGTTGCTTTTCTGTCGATGCAGCTGGCCTCTCATATTGATCTGTCTTCTGATTCTGCTGGAGGTCTTTTTCTGTTAAAATATAGCTCATCCTTTTTGACTGTTGGCAAACTCTCGCTCTAGAGGAGGGATTGCTTCAAACATTAATTCCATTCGCATTTCTTGTAAAACTTGTAACCTAACTTGTAATTCTTTGTTTAATAATCCAGATTGAACTGAGCAGCATGTTGATGAGGCTAAATCAGACTGTAAATTAGGGGTGTAAATAATAATCGTTTTGTATCGGTGCATCGAGCCAACAGCCGACGATCCGATGCATCGATACGTCCGCAAGAGAATCGATTCATGTTTTTTTTCCTCCGGTCTATTTTTATCCATTTGCTCCTGGATGTAATTCTCCTCCCGTGCTGCGGTGGCGCTAAACCTATTTTGCCCTCCTACCTCGCTTCCTGGTTATACTCTTACAGCAGTGTGTTGCAGTGAGCTTGATGCAGACATTTTTGATTTATGCTCAATATTGAAGCGTGGTCTGCGCTACACGCTGTGGGTCTAGATACGGCCGAGGCGGTGAGGAAGTGGGGGCGAGTTTAGTCCGACGACGGAGGGACATGAGGGCCCAAAAGAGCGGAGATCCAGGTGGAAAAAGGGTCCCAGCGTTCTCGCGCACCTCGCTCTTCTAGCGGGTCAAACTTCACGAGTTGTTTTCCTCAATTTCTATCATAAAAACAAAACAAGCCGGCCTCCTGTCTGCGGTCAGCTGCAATTTAGGAGAGGAGCAGCGGAGCGTCTGTGGAGGGGGCGGGGCGTCTGGTGCCCAGGTATTGCATTGCATTGCACTGATTATGTGCAGTATTTTTTTATGCAACTTTTCTACTTCTGTTATTTGCTGTTGTTTCTCAAAAAGTATGCATAACAATATTACAGCTTTCATTGATTTATTTTAAACTTGAAACTTTGTTTAGCCTGTAAGGTCTAAAAAAAAAAAAAAAAAAAAAAAAAAAAAAAATTAATCGATTAATGGAATCGTATCGTGGTGTATTCTTGAGAATCAAAAATAATCGAATCGTTGGGTCAGGAAATCGATACTGAATCAAATCGCCATGATGGGTGTGATTTACGCCCCTACTGTAAATGCAGTAGCTGAACCATTTGGTAAAATTTAGAAAATGTTATCAAAGGCTATCAGAAAAAACCACAAAACCCAGGTCCTCAGAAATCGAAATATTGAGAAATAGCAGAACATATTTCTGAGGTTAAATATAAATAGTAAGTTGGGTGGAAGTTTTCACCCCCCGACGACCAAACTTTTAGCAGTTAAACAAGAAAAGTCAAAATAAGTAAATTAATTGTTGAAATAGAAGAAGCTGTCACCTGTACATGAAAAAATTTAATATTTAAAGAGGAGATAAACAAAGTTTAACTGTTTAATTTATTGTGAACACATTCTACTTTGCTATGAAGGAATAATAAAAAAAAAAAGGACCTTGAATGAGTTCAATTGATTTCAGTCACACCCCCTGCAATTACCCTCTCGCCCCAGTAGGGGGAGCACCACTCAGCTTGAGAACCACTGCAGTATTTCCAGCAAAAGGAGCCAATTATTGAGGCCATTGAAGTGAAAATACTTTTCAGAAGTCAGAAATTCCTGTTTAATGTCTTTTTTTATTGGTTTAATGTAATTTTCTAACCTTATTTCTACGTGTCGCAATACTTGGGTCACAATATGATATCACAGTATTGCAAAATCAACATATATTGTGGTATACTACCCAGCTAATATTCAATCAATATTAAATGTAGATGTAAAAAAAGCAAATGCAGTATATTTATTACGAGATGCTCATCGCAGTTTTTTGGTAGCCATGTTGTTTGGGGTTTGCGGCATTGCAGAAGTCGTGCATTGAAAAGACTGATAAATATGGAAAATTTTCTTGATATTTATGATAAACGTAATGAGTCGCACTGCTATGAACTGAGGTGTTTTGATTAATTTGGATGATCCGACTTTAGTTTGGGTTAAATTTTGTTCTAAATAGGTTGATCTGCTTTAATCCGTTTGTCTGAACCTTAGCGATGCGTCACTTTTTAGCAAATAATCACCTTTAAGTTCAGTGTTCAACTAACAATGCTTTGGGAATCAAGTCATTAATCTGTTTCTGTTTTTATCCTTTTTAATTCAGAGAACAATTAATGATCAGATATCAGGTAAAAGATCACCGTGTTTACCTGGTATTCCTTCTCTTTCATCTCATTAGCGACTCTCTCTGTGAATTTGGCCTCTGAAGCAAACGCTGGCTTCTGTGGTGCAGAGCTGCTGTGGCCGAACCAGTCAGTGAACGCCTCGTGGGCTTCCTATCAAGTCATCAACACACAGGTTTACATCATTTCGCTTTTTACAGCAAATTCAGAAAACAGAGCGCTGTAACGTCATCAAGTAAGAAGCCGACTGACCAGGTAAGCTCTGATGCACAGGTGCTCTCTGATGGCGTTCTCATCCTCTGCAGGTAGGGGAGCGGTCTGACCAATGCCCTTCCACTGCGAGTAAATCTCGCTCATTGAATCCTCTGGAACTTTGGAGAAAACCGCCTTCGCTGCATCATGTTTCTGCAGAGCTGAGATGTGGAGATCCAGGCGTCGTTTTTAGCCACATAGGCAGGAATGAAGGCTTAGGAAAGTCCTCAGTGGATAAAACTTACCCAAAAATCTCCTCATGATGGCGTTGGACTGCTTCAGGGCCTCAGATCGGTGGGATGGGTCAAACAGCAGCCAGTCGATGACGTCGATCTTTTTCTGGTCCTCCTATCAGACCAAATGGGTAAGAAAACAAAAACAATTTGCAGGCAAAACATAATAGTGACAAAGAGGGATAGAAATGAGAGGATAAAATGTTGAAGAAGCAATTTTTTTTTAAACATTGGACCTGTTTTTTTTATTCGTTTACTTTGTACATCACTGCCCCCTAGTGGAAGAGAATGCAAGGCTGGGAGAAAGGAAGCTATGAAAAAGCTTCAAAGGTTTCTTAGAAATCAGATTCTTCTAAAACGCTCTTTGATGCATCGTATCAGAAAAGGTTAGAAAAAACAAACAAACAAAAAAAAGTTTACATTGTCGCTTAAGGTGGTTTTTGGCTTTTTAAAAAAGGATTAATATGTAGATGGAGACACTTTTTAAATCAGCTGACAGTTAGCTTTTACCCAACATGTTATACACTTAAACACGGCTGGAAGCAACACATTCATTAAAACTTTAGAGTGCTAAATTGCAGCCTCTACTTACTGTGTATAACAGCAATGAGTGATGGTTATATGGATGACGACACCATGCTTTGCGTCATTTGCTTCACTTCAAACTTCAAATTTGCATTTCCTTTCTTTCCTTACTTTTTTGAAGTTCTCTTAAAATTCACATTTCACTTGATGGAAACGTGACCAGTAAAAGCAGGAAAAGGAGGTATGTTAGGATGCAGGAAAGGCAGGAATGAAACATTATGGCACAAGGAAGTAAGGAAGGAATGAGGTTAGGAAGGAAGGAGAAAAGGAAGGAAGTTGGAAGATGGTAAAACCTTAATGAAAATGTTTGATAGTAGAGCTGGGTGTTTTCGCCTAAATCAATTTGATTTTGATTAATTCAGTTCTAAATCAATTAATTTCGATTCGATCCGTTTTTACAATAATGAAAGTGGGTTAAACTGCGTTTCAAAACACTCATGTATTTTATTTTTTCCTGTCACATTAAACACAAAGTGTAAACGTGTAAATCAGACAGTTTAAACTTGAGATGTGAACAAAATTGTGTCATAAGTGCAAACTTGATTGTGACAAGTGAAAAAGTGAAGAATCACTTGGCCGAGCAGACGTGACACAGCAGACATGCTGCACCACCTGACAAAAATCAGACAAAATTGGTGTCAACGTTTGTGCAACAAAAATTTTAATTTAAACCGCTTTCATTTTAAAGATATAAAGAAATATTTCTAGAGGTCATCAAAGGTCAACCAGACCCCCACCTTATTCAAATTAGGGGTGGGTATTGCCAAAGGAGTCACGATTCGATTCGAATCAGGATTCACAGGCCACGATGCGATTCTATCACGATGCATCCCGATACTTGAATTATTGCGATGCATTGCAATATTTTCTCCTCCATGTTTTGTTTTTGAATGACTCGGCGCAGTAGAAATGCTTGTGACACAAGGCAGTGTGCATCAACACATCCGCAGCGACATCTACTGGACTGGAAGTTGTATAACACTTGTTTTTGGCTGATGTTCGCCAACCATTCATGCAATTTTATTTACTCATTTTTTTAAATTAATAATCGATACTTGGCGTCAAGAATCGATGCAGTAGATCATGAAAATTAGAATCACGATGCATCATCATTACGATTATTTTGCACACCCCTAATTCAAAACAGACGAAATGGGTATCAATTAACTCTGCTCCGTTTGTGCAGCAAAGATTGTCGTTTGTGCTGCTTTGGCTTTTAAGATATTTGTGAAAATGTAAAGGTCAAAAGGTCAACCAGCCCCCCCACCTTCTTCAAATTAGACAAAATTGGTGTCAAACGTTTGTGCAGCAAAAATTTTCGTTTGTACCGCTTTCATTTTAAAAGATATAAAGAGATGTTTCTAGAGGTCATCAAAGGTCAACCACCCGCCAACCCCCCACCCCCAGCCGCCACCCGATAGCGGCACAAACGAAAATATTTGCTGCACAAACGTAGCACAAACGTTTGACACTAATTTTGTCTGATTTGAAGAAGGTGGGGGGGCCACTTCACTCAGGTCACTGCACCATATGTGCAGCGTTGTCTGTAACAACTACAGGGTGTTTTCTGGTCCGCCTCCATTTGTTAACATCTTTAGCCGACCTGTTGGCCATATTTGCAGCTGTCTGGCTTGAAGTCATCTTGAGTGCATCTTTCCTGCTCATTTGATTGTGAACGTCACACGCATCACTATAAAAATAATCAATCTCATTCCCTAGACATCAAATTTGCAAAAATGTAAAGGAATCGATTTAAAATCGATTTTTTTTTACCCAGCCCTAATTGATATCAAACAAATAAACAAGTATAAAGGAAGAGAGATGTTTGTTTCTCCTGTTTCATCTTGTTGGCATCATGTGCAGCAGTTAGATCTAGTTTATTCTTCTCTATACCTGGTGAGAATCCAGTTCTCTTAGATTCATTAAAAGTTTAGTATGAAACTGATTCATTTAATCTATTACAGGTGTAGATTATTTGATTGTAGAGACAAATTAGACAAAGTAGCAACTTTCCAGCAAACATTTCCTTTATGAGAACAATGTACCAGTTTGGTTTTTACCTTTGTGGTTCCTGTCTCCAGTGTCTGGCTGTGGTGTGTGAAATCTGCATCGTCTCTCCCTCGTACCGTCTCCACCACCAGCTTGGTTATCGCAGAGACGTCCAGACCTGAACACAGATGGAGCCTTTAGATCCTCCTGATATAAACTACCATCTAGAATCCCACTGGCCTCTGAACCTCTCACCTGCTTCTGTGGCGAGATGCAGGCACTGAGGGCGGAGCTCTGGCTGGCTGACCGTCTCCAGGAAAGCGGCGTACTGAGTGGTGGCCAGCTCAGCGGGAAGCTGGCCCACGTAGCTCGCCACGAGGTGCGTCTGCTGGTCCCGGATCAGAAGTGAGATGTAAGCTTTCAGCATATCGACGCACACTTCCTCCTTCAGAAAAATAAAAAATATAAGAAAAAAAAAATAAAAGAAATGCACAATTTAATTAGTTCATTTTCAAGGTTGATTTTTCTTAATTGGTTTAACAAAAAAGAAAAAGAAAAAAAAAACCCCCTCAAACTTACCTTTAATGCCAAACCCAGAGAGCGGAAAAACAAGACCAGGTGAGTCATAAAACGCAGCAGATGGAAAGGGAGGGGCTTAGAGGCCATCAGCCAATCAGAAAACTCTTCCATTAGACCTGATTGACGGCAAAAGACAGAATGAGCGTTAAAAAAAATGCTAATTGGCTAAAATCAGCCATCAATGAATAAACTGACAGATGTAGTGTTTTTGTTTAGATTTTCTTTTTAGGATTAGATCTTTTTATTTTTTTATTTATTTTTTTAAGATTTAGCAAGTAACTAAACAGAAGAACTGATCGTGAAGGCGGCAGGTACCCGAGGCTCCGAGCCCTCAGGTACCCGAGGCTCCGGGCCCTCAGGTACCCGAGGCTCCGGGCCCTCAGGTACCCGAGGCTCCGGGCCCTCAGGTACCCGAGGCTCCGGGCCCTCAGGTACCCGAGGCTCCGAGCCCTCAGGTACCCAAAGCGCTCAGAAATCATACAGGAACTAAAAAATTTAATTTTTACCGTCCAGGTCGCCGAGAATCACAAACTTCTGGATGACGTGATGATGCTCTTTGATCTCGTCCAACACTCTCTGTCCCAAACACACAGACATTGGTTAGCAGTGAGCTCCGCCATGATCCCAACATTAACCCTTAAAATCCCTCATCAGGAAGCTCACCTTTGACTCTGATGCCTGAAGCTCCTCAAACACGTTCTCCATGGTCCAACTAGGAAGAGGAAAGGCGACAGTGTTATCAGAGACATGTCTCCCTCTGACTGTCAACTCCTTCAGCTCATCGGTCATACTTTGCCTCCAGATATTCCCGCGGTAGTGTCTCCAGCTCCTGGTGTGCCATGCCTGATGACGTGAGCTCCTTTTCAACCAGCGAGTCCACCATGACTTTGAAGTACGCCCACACGCAGTCCTCCCACGACTCGCACACGGCCAGGATCTGAAACCCACACAGACGGTTCAAACCAAGTCCTGAAGCAGCGAGTTAAAGCTGTGGATTAGACATGAAGAATAAATCACCGGTTTGATGTTTCCGCTCAGGCTGGCGTAGATCGCCCTCTCGTATCTGTTCAGCTGCTCCTAGAACGAAAGCTAAGAGTTTATATTTGATGTCTGCTTCATATCTGAGTCCCCAGGAGGTGGTGACTAAGAGCAGACCTCCTCAGCCATCCTCCAGCAGCAGGCTTTCCAGATCCCTCTGTGTGGATTTCCTTCAACAGGCTGCAGCTCAGAGCTTCCTGTCAGCAGAGAGACGGCATTGGTACTGCAACCATACATGCTGGAATGTTCTGGCAGGTTTGTGTTTTCTTTTCTTTTTTATTTCAAAAACAGAAACTGCGTGTGAAGACAGTTTTAGGAATGAAAAAACAAAAACTGATTTTGAGAATTTAGGAATCAAAATATACGTAATATGTTTATTCCTGTTTATTAAACTTAAAGATCAATAGAGTCCCTATGATTTTTTTTTACAATCCTAAAAATGCAGAGAACAAGTGAAATTTAAAAAATAAAAATAATATACATTTTATGAAAAACGAGTTGGTACCGCCATCAGCAGACAGCTAATGCATGAACACAGAATCAATAATTGTTTCTTTGATTAAAAGCACTTTATTTTGCAAATAAATTATGATTTTTTTTTTTGTTTCGTTAATAATTTAAACTTTCCAGAACAATCAAAAGCACATAACCACTTTAAGAATTGGGATTTAAATTCTAGCTGAATAAACTGTACCAACCTTCTCTGATAAATAATCTTGTTTTTATCTCATCTGTGCATCAAAAACACTTCTTTATTTCCTTAAAGTAACTTGCAGCTGAAACCTTGATCAAAGTGCTTCTACATCTATAAGCTGATCTTTATTTTCTACTTTCCTCTTGTCTATTTTAAAGCTCAGGTTATATAAACTAAATCTTATAATGGAGTCACAACCCGGTATTTTACAAACACTTTGAGGATATGCATTAGATTTGACTAGTCCGTATGCACGTTCATATGAATACAGCATTAGCATTAGCGGTTAGCAATGGTTCATTAATTACCTTAAGTTAAAAAGTTACACAAAAGAACTTAAAGATGATATTTTCTCCTCTGAGATCTTGTTTATATTTCCATGTAAGCCGCTTCTATCAGAGAAGGATGTTATTTTTTAAACCAAATCACATACACACAGAGTATGGATGTTTTTTTTGTCATTTCTAATTCCCATGGTCCCTGAATGCAACAGCTGGGAATAGGTTTTCAGCCCCCCAATACAAGACAAGTTCCAAAAAAAAAAAAAAAAAAAAAAAAAAACTAGTTTTGTCTTTTGGAAAAAAAAAATAGATATTTATTTTTCAGGTTCTATTTTTATCATGTTTTTTTATTATTTTTTTATTGAACTCTATGGCCCCAATTTGGCTCCATAAATCACTTCTATTGGTGAAAAAGGCTACGTTCACACTGAAGTTCGAGTCCAATTTTTCCCCCTGTGAAATCTGATTGTTTCCTGTTGCTGTTCACATTTCCATATATATGAGCCCTGGATATGATCTCCAGTGTGAACATCATTCATACAGCTTAAGTGTCCTGTGAGTTGCTACCTGAGGTCATGTTGGGATCATGGTAGAGCTTCCAGCCCTCCAGAGTTGCTGCTCTCCAGGCCTGACCGCAGCGTTTACACAGCCTCTGAGCCTAGAAACATGTAATATAGATGTGAAAAACACAATAATGGCTGAATCTTTAACTGCATGCCAGAATCTATGGTTTACTTTAAAGGTATAGTGGAGGATGTTCTTTTTCCGGGTTCATCAAAATCAGTGGTCCTCCTAATTGTCAATCATTGTGGTGATATGTTTACGTCAGGCCGTCCTACGTGCTGGTCCCCATTTTCACTTACGGGCGGCGAGTCTGACATGGTGGAAAAATTGCAAATCTTCTTTTTAAAAGCAAGCTTATATGAGCGATGCAAACAGCAACTATTAAACAAGGCGTGCACGATGAGAAATGTGCTTGTGCACGCTCTTGCACGTATTTAATAAGCGTTCCCACTCTCTTTCTTCAAGTGAAATTGCGGTGTAAGAGCCATATGATCAAATAAGAAATTACTAATGTGACAGCAGCACACAGCTTTGACACCTGGGTGGTGGGTGTGTCTAAGGTGGGCGTGAGTGTCACTAAGGTATGAATGGGAGTCATTCTGGCGCACTGAATTTGTATGAATGAGGAAGCGGGTGCGACGGTGGTGGTCGTAATTTCTGTTGACCGTGCTATATTGTCGCTTTATTTTTGGCATCATAGAATGGTTTAGCCTGGTCAGTATGTCAGTAAATGTCAAGTCTGGATTATGACGGCCAAATGGAATAAATTGATGATTGCAATTACAAGAAGCGGCTTGGAGTGTTTTGAAGCGGGCGTCTGACAGATCATGAAATCACCCTCTACAACACCGCTGGTCAGCCGCACAACTATCGTCAACAGAAACGACAATCGAACGAGCAGCTCATTGGAAAACAAGTCTGGATTCTTCACTTCTGTTTGGAACAGTTTGGAAGCGGTAATGGCGCACGCAGCGCAGCGTCATCATTTAATTGAATGAGATTCCTTCACTGCAGCTCAATCAAGTCCGCTGGAACTGAGGTATGGAAAAATACACACGCATTAAGTCGTTTGATCTGAAGAGGAATTGTTAAAGACAAACAATTGGAAATGGAGTCAGTTGGATCTAAATCAAGTTCCGTTGTAAGCGGTGAAGATGAAAAAAGACGATCAAAATTAACTGCTAAAGCATTACAAAATAAAATCGAGAAGCTTCAAAAGGATCTCAAAGCAAAAAAAAAAAATCAAGGAAATTTTGAGTGTTCAGTCTCATTGTGATGATTTAAAACTATTGCTTGAAAATGCAAATCAGCTGTATGAGTCTGTTATTCCACTGTTTCCTGCTGAAGAACAAGAAAGACAAAACACTTGGTTTTCAAGCTTGTGTAAATATAATTCTGAATTTATACAAGAAGTTGAAAATGGCTTTTAGGTGCAAAACAACTTAATGCAGCTCAAATGGGTGAAGAAGCTGATTTAAATCAGGCTCAACTGTCCAGGGTTGAACCTTTTCAAAAATTCACGAAAATCTTGCACCATACCTTTAAAAGTCACGTTTTAGTTTCTGACATGAAATCTGTTCCTCTACCTCATCAGTCATTCCCGCCCGGATCAGTGTGAAAAGGTTCTTCAGCAGTCGAGCGTCGTCCTCTCTATCCAGATCTGCCAGGGGGCGCTGCTGCCGGAGAGGAGCATCTGGATCCTGGAGCAGAGGAACGCCACCATTACTTGTTTGGGTTTCTGTTATTGTTCAGAGGTTGGAAAGAAGGTTTTTCTACAGGACCAAGCCTCACCAGCTCTGTGACAAGAGGAACCAGGAAGTTGGAGCCGCTTTTGCGCCTCATCTTCAGCGCGTGCAGCGTGTTCTCCCTGAAGTTTATATAAAAAAAAAAGTGTTTTTAAACATGCTGAGGTGAATTTCAATCTGAAGGATGAGAATAACTTACCAGCAAACATTTTTGGCATAGTATTCAATGTTATCAGAGAAATTTCCAATTTGATCCTTGGCGATGCTTTCTAGCCAATCAACAACCAGCTGCAAAAAAAAAACAATTTAGCTGCATTGTGGACTCCGTAATGTTGGAGAAACTCAACAACTCAACTTTACTTTCTAAAAGTCAACAAGCTTCATGCATCATCCAGGCTGGAAGAGCGACTCGCTTCGTCCAAGAATTAGAAACCGTTTCTTCTTGGAATAGACCAAGATTTAAGGATGTTTGAAGATTTATCAATACTAAAACTCACCAATCTAGGATTTTAGACTATACCTGCTGTATTTGTTTTGAAAACAAAACAATTAAAAAACAATGAGCACTAATTATATTTTGAGAAAAAGAGAACAAAGTAAATAAAAAGTGCAAATTATAAAACTAGATAAATAACTTTATAAATGGCTTGTTTGATCCATTTTAAAACCACTATGGATGTTTGTAGGTTTAACGTTTTGTTAAGATATCCACAGATAGTTGAAGTTGATGAATTGATGGTAGTCCTCCATTGATCTGCCCAGTTTGTCCAATCCACCAGCAAAGCTCACAGTGAAAGGGTCCCAAAGCATGATTATGTCACCACCATGCTTGTTGGTATTCCCTGGCTGTTTCTGAGCCCGTTATGTGTGAATGAGAGCTCCTCTGCTCCCCTCAGATGAAAGGGATATTGGTAACAAATAGGGGTGTAAATAATAATCGTTTTGTATCGATTAATCGATACGTCCGCAAGAGAATCGATTCATGTTTTTTTTTTCCTCCGGTCTATTTTTATCCATTTGCTCCTGGGCGTAATTCTATCTCCCGTGCTGCGATGGCGCTAAACCTATTTTGCCCTCCTACCTGGTTATACTCTTACAGCAGTGTGTTGCAGTGAGCTTGATGCAGACATTTTTGATTTATGCTCAATATTGAAGCGTGGTCTGTGCTACACGCTGTGGGTCTAAATACGGCCGAGGCGGCGAGGAAGTGGGGGCGAGTTTAGTCCGACGACGGAGGGACATGAGGGCCAAAAAGAGCGGAGATCCAGGTGGAAAAAGGGTCCCAGCGTTCTCGCGCACCTCGCTCTTCTAGCGGCTCAAACTTCACGAGTTGTTTTCCTCAATTTCGGTTATAAAACCAAAACAAGCCGGCCTCCTGTCTGCGGCGCTGTCTGCGGTCAGCTACAATCTGGGAGAGGAGCAGCGGAGCGTCTGTGGAGGGGGCGGGACGTCTGGAGCCGAGGTATTGCATTGCACTCATTGCACTGATATTGTGCAGTATTTTTTGATGAAAGGCCTTGCAGAATCTATACCCCAGGGGTGGTATTATTTTTCAGTGAATGAGGTTTTAATAGGAATAAGTGGAGTGCAACTTTTCTACTTCTGTTATTTTCTGTAGATTCTCAAAAAAAAAAAGCATAACGATTAGGGATGCACGATATTGGGATTTTGGCCGATATCCGATGTGCCGATATTTTAAAACTCATGTAGCCGATAACCGATATCGATACCGATGTTAAAGCTGGACAAAAATAAGTAGTCATTGAAAATAGCAGTTTTGTTATCCATTTCTGACACTTTGAAAAATAATATACTCAAATATATTTTCATATGCTGATATCAAATAGATTTTTAAAAACGCGGCATCGATCTATTTTACTTTCAAAATCTTGTGAAATTTCATCGTTCCGTTACAAACTCTCGTGATATTTTGCAAATCCTTGTGAGATTTTGTTAGTAAAATAGATCGATACCGCGTCAATATATCAACATATAAAAATATGGCAACATTTGGTGAATTTTCAGGGGATTTCGTAACATAACGATGACATATAGCAATATTTCATTAGTAAAAGAGATTGATATGGTGTTTTTAAATGGCAATATATCAGCATATGAAGATATTGGGATATTTTAATGGATCAATATTTTTTCCCTCTTCTTTAGAAGTTTTTAAGTTTGTAAAAAAGAAGTTTTTGAGGAAGAAGAAGAAGTAGTATTTATTTTTTTTGTAGACTTTAGAAACTCAGAAGCTGATCAAATATCGGGTTAAATATCGGTGGGGTGGCCGATGTCCGATATTCAGTTTTAAGGCCGATACCGATAGGAGGCCGATTATATCGTGCATCCCTAATAACGATATTACAGCTTTCATTGATTTATTTCAAATTTGAAACATTGTCTAGCCTGTAAGGTGTATAAAAAAAAAAAAGAACCATTTAGTCGACTCGTAACGTGGTGTATTCTTGAGTATCTAAAATAATCGATTCGTTGGGTCAGAAAATCGATACTGAGTCGAATCGCCATGATGGGTGTGATTTACACCCCTAGTAACAAATGAAGCCAGCTCTGCATGACATTGGACCTGCTTGGACATCTTAACAAGCTAAGCACCGATGCAGCCATTTACGGTGCCATCTAGGTTCCCTGTCCTACATGAAATTAATGTCTTCTGGAGAAAGATTAGATGTATATTTTAAGTCTAAATGAGGCTATCGAACCTACTGACACTGAACCAGTTGAGACGCATGGTGGTGGAAGCATCATTCTGTGGCGTTCTTTCAATGTCAGGGGTATTGGTGAACAAAAGGTAGACAAACAAACGGTTTAAACTTTTCAACCAGGTCAGTTATGTTGCCTGAGATGTGAGAAAAGTTCATTTCAATGACTGAAGATCTCAGATCCAGACTGTTTGGATTTATTTAATAAAAAAATACTTCTTACATCTAAATATCTTCTTAAGTGAAACCACTACAGGTCTGCATGTTACCTGGCTCTGTCGGATGATGGCATCTCGCTGGAAAAGCTGCTCAACGACGACCTTCTCACTCTCACTGGGAACCTTCAGGTAAAGCAACCACAGGTTTACAGGACTGCCACACTGATATAAAAATAATTTATTATGGAAGTCTTAAATCATGACTAATTTCTTCATCTTTCCTACTAAGCAGTCAGGCGTTCTTCAAATCTATTCCTGAAAGGACTGCCTTCAACTTAAGCCTAATTTTTCAGTCTCAAATGATCGACTCACCACGATGTCTGTCATCATGTCCTCTTCTAACGCCAACTGGACCCGATCTCTGCAGAGACAGTCAGGTTAATTTAAAAAACAGCCAGGAAGAGAGAAATGCATCTCGGTAAGCCGGATGGATACCTGTAGAGAGACGAGATGAGCCTCCAGGTGCAGTTCTCCTGCTGCAGCAGCCAGCGGACACTCGCTGTTTTACTGTTCTGACCCGCTCTCAGCACCAGAGACTGCAGCACATTCACCTTTAACACAGGCACAGCAGACGTTCTCTTAGGCTATGTTCCGATTTTTTTGTAAAATCCGATTTTTGTTGCGTTGCCATTCATATTTCCAAATATATGAGACTTGTATGTGATCTCCTGTGTGAACTCCAGTCAGATTTGCTCCGCATATCCATCTGGGAACCTTCCGTTGAAGTAATTTTGGGAAGGGGCGAAAATACTGGTTAGCTGATTGGCCTATGTTGGTGATAGACGGGCCAAATAAACCAATCAGATCAACGAAGCATATGACGTACTAACAGAGCGACGACGAAGAGGAGCCAATTGATAGATCAAACTCTTGCTGAAACCAGTCGGGAGAAGAGCAAAAACATCTTTTCCTCTGAGAAAAGCCTCCAGAGCAGTGTTTTGCTCTTCTTTCAGTGAAGAAATACTCTGTAATTCCCATAAAACTTGCTCGATAGCCACGCTAACGCTAGCTTCATCGACTGAAGCCGCCATGTTCTTTAGACTGAACTGTCGCGCTTCTCGTTGCGTCACACCTCAACCCGCCTCAAAGCCAACGCTGATTGGACGTTCGTTTGGTGAACGGCTCCAAATTTTCTTTAACGGAGAATCTCCAGACTGATTAGCGAGTGAAACCTTGAAAGCTCGCGAGATCAGGATGGTCTCACCAGGCTAATCATCATCTGCCATTGTTGTTATTTCTCTCGCAAGCAAGACGCAGAATAGTGACCTTTGTCGGGTATTAATGGCGTTCAGGTCGGATGAATGCGACCTGGCCGTTCAGACACCGGTCGCATTTGGAAAGATAAGATTCGTATCGGATTCAGGCACAGATAGCCAAGTGGCCTGGGTCGGGTTGGAAAAAAAATCAAATCTGTGTTGTTTAGACTGCCATGAAAAGATCAGATCCAAGTAGCTTACGGGCCGAAAAATCGGATTTGGGTCACTTCAGGCTGCAGTGTGAACGTAGCCTGACCCCCAGATTCCACATACTCCGTCAGCGCTCCGCTGACGGACGTTGTGCGGAGCGCTTGTCTTTCATGGAAATCAATGAGAGCTGTTCCACATCCACCGCTACTCCTCCGCACGTCTCCGTCCACGTACGTCTTCTCCGTCCGTCACCGACAAAATACGGAGCCGAGCTATTTTTTGCTGACTAGAAATTATAGCACAAATAGTATATATTCCCAAAAAAACTAACACCGTTTATTTAAAAGATTGGATGTAAACTATTGGTTATTCACCAACCAGGAAGCAGATTTCTCATCTCCATCAAAATATTTATTTTATACCACTCAAAAGAAACTTCTTAATGCAGGAATGGATAAAGAGATGCTGAGTTTGGGAGTAATGAACAAACAAAGTTCATTTTAAAAAAAAAAGCAGTTTTGAATGATCCTAGTTATCCCCGTTACAAAAATCTACAACAAAAAAATATTTGGGCAGAAACTGAATATATGCTGAAAGCTGATGGGATTTTTTTAATATGTCATACAGGAATGAGTGACTCTAATTTAATGCTATTTTAATGCTATTAGAAATTATTTTAATGCCATCAACAAGAACCATGAACACAAGTTATTAGTGTACATGAAATATGAAGGAGCTGCAAGCACAGTTCCATGACTCCTGTATGTATGTAAATATAAATATTTTTTAAAATATACAGGTGCTGGTCATAAAATTAGAATATCATGAAAAAGTAGATTGATTTCAGTAATTCCATTTAAAAAGTGAAACTTGTATATTATATTCATACATTACATACAAACTCATATATTTCAGATGTTTATTTTGTTTAATTTTGATGATTATAAATGACAACAAATGAAAATCTCAAATTCATCATATCAGAAAATTAGAATATTACTGAAGACCAATAAAAACAAAGGATTTATAGAAATGTTGGCCAACTGAAAAGTATGAACATGAAAAGTATGAGCATGTACAGCACTCAGTATTTAGTTGGGCCTCCTTTGGCCAGTATTACTGCAGCAATGCGGCGTGGCATGGAGTCGATCAGTCTGTGGCACTGCTCAGGTGTTATGATAGCCCAGGTTGCTCTAATAGTGGCTTTTAGCTCTTCTGAATTGTTGGGTCTGGTGTATTGCATCTTCTTCTTCACAATACCCCATAGATTTTCTATGGGGTTAAGGTCAGGAGAGTTTGCTGGCCAATTAAGAACAGGGATACCATGGTCCTTCAACTAGGTACTGGTAGCTTTGGCACTGTGTGCAGGTGCCAAGTCCTGTTGGGAAATGAAATCTGCATCTCCAAAAAGTTGGTCAGCTGCAGGAAGCATGAAGTGCTCTAAAACTTCCTGGTATGTGGCTGCGTTGACCCTGGACCTCAGAAAACACAATGGACCAACACCAGCAGATGACATGGCACCCCAAACCATCACTGACTGTGGAAACTTTACACTGGACTTCAAGCAACGTGGATGAAGTGCCTCTCTTCTTTTCCTCCAGACTCTGGGACCTTGATTTCCAAAGGAAATGCAAAATTTACTTTCATCAGAGAACATGACTTTGGACCACTCACCAGCAGTCCAGTCCTGTTTCTCTTTAGACGCTTCTGACGCTGTCTGTGGTTCAAGAGTGGCTTGACACAAGGAATGCGACAGCAGAAACCCATGTCTTTCATACGTCTGTGTGTGGTGGTTCTTGAAGCACTCACTCCAGCTGCAGTCCACTCTTTGTGAATCTCCCCCACATTTTTGAAGGGGTTTTGTTTCACAATCCTCTCCAGGGTGCGGTTATCTCTCTTGCTTGTACACTTTTTTTCGACCACATCTTTTCCTTCCCTTCGCCTCTCTATTAATGTGCTTGGACACTGAGCTCTGTGAACAGCCAGCCTCTTTAGCGATGACCTTTTGTGTCTTGCCCTCCTTGTGCAAGGTGTCGATGGTCGTCTTTTGGACAACTGTCAAGTCAGCAGTCTTCCCCATGATTGTGTAGCCTATAGAACTAGACTGAAAGACCATTTAAAGGCTTTTGCAGGTGGTTTGAGTTAATTAGCTGATTAGAGTGTGGCACCAGGGGCCATCAATTTTGAACCTTTTCACAATATTCTAATTTTCTGACATGATGAATTTGAGATTTTCATTTGTTGTCATTTGTAATCATCAAAATTAAACAAAATAAACATCTGAAATATATGAGTTTGTATGTAATGTATGAATATAATATACAAGTTTCACTTTTTAAATGGAATTACTGAAATCAATCTACTTTTTCATGATATTCTAATTTTATGACCAGCACCTGTATACACTATATTGCCAAAAGTATTTGCTCACCCATCCAAATTATTGGAATCAGGTGTTCCAATCACTTCCATGGCCACAGGTGTATAAATTCAAGCACCTAGGCATGCAGACTGTTTTTACAAACATTTGTGAAAGAATGGGTCGCTCTCAGGAGCTCAGTGAATTCCAGCGTGGAACTGTGATAGGATGCCACCTGTGCAACAAATCCAGTCGTGAAATTTCCTCGCTCCTAAATATTCCACAGTCAACTGTCAGCTGTATTATAAGAAAATGGAAGTGTTTGGGAACGACAGCAACTCAGCCACGAAGTGGTAGGCCACGTAAACTGACGGAGCGGGGTCAGCGGATGCTGAAGCGCATAGTGCGAAGAGGTCGCCAACTTTCTGCAGAGTCAATCACTACAGACCTCCAAACTTCATGTGGCCTTCAGATTAGCTCAAGAACAGTGCGCAGAGAGCTTCATGGAATGGGTTTCCATGGTCGAGCAGCTGCATCCAAGCCATACATCACCAAGTGCAATGCAAAGCGTCGGATGCGGTGGTGTAAAGCACGCCGCCACTGGACTCTAGAGCAGTGGAGACGCGTTCCCTGGAGTGACGAATCGCGCTTCTCCATCTGGCAATCTGATGGACGGGTCTGGGTTTGGCGGTTGCCAGGAGAACGGTACTTGTCTGACTGCATTGTGCCAAGTTTAAAGTTTGGTGGAGGGGGGATTATGGTGTGGGGTTGTTTTTCAGGAGCTGGGCTTGGCCCCTTAGTTCCAGTGAAAGGAACTCTGAATGCTTCAGCATACCAAGACATTTTGGACAATTCCATGCTCCCAACTTTGTGGGAACAGTTTGGAGCTGGCCCCTTCCTCTTCCAACATGACTGTGCACCAGTGCACAAAGCAAGGTCCATAAAGACATGGATGACAGAGTCTGGTGTGGATGAACTTGACTGGCCTGCACAGAGTCCTGACCTCAACCCGATAGAACACCTTTGGGATGAATTAGAGCGGAGACTGAGAGCCAGGCCTTCTCGTCCAACATCAGTGTGCGACCTCACAAATGCGCTTCTGGAAGAATGGTCAAAAATTCCCATAAACACACTCCTAAACCTTGTGGACAGCCTTCCCAGAAGAGTTGAAGCTGTTCTAGCTGCAAAGGGTGGACCGACGTCATATTGAACCCTATGGATTAGGAACGGGATGTCACTTAAGCTCATATGTGAGTCAAGGCAGGTGAGCAAATACTTTTGGCAATATAGTGTATATATATTTTTTTTTTCTAGCTTTTTCTCCGCCTCAAGCTTCCTTTCCGAACATATGGCTTTATGATCAGTTCCACGCAAATTAATCGCGATAGAATATATCTGACGAAATTGTTTTTCTAAACATTTTTTAATAAAGAACTATAAATGCCACAATAAACATATTTAATTAATTTTAGTGCCAATTAAGGCCTTAATTTTAAAAAAAATTAATGAATTGTAATTATTTTTAACGATCCACGGAAACCCTGGATCATTTCCGCATGTTTTGCTGCTTTGAATTTAATCATCTGGCGCATGCCCTCTACCATCTCCAAGGAACTCAGAGCGGAGCGACGGGAGCCACAGTGGAGGCTGTAGGCTTTGCTTTGAGCAGCCGGTCTGGAGCGCAGCGGGCGAAGTGGAGCGCAGCGGAGTATGTGGGATTTCGGGGTTAGAGGCTCATTTGATTCATGCAAACATGTCTAGAATTATGTGATTATGTTTATTTAAAGATAATAGATGAAACAAGCGATCATCCTTGAAAAATGTCTCATTACCTTTAAAAAGTAGAAAAATCTTGTTTCTTTTAGAAAAAAAAAAACTCAGATCGATGACACAAAGATTTAAGTCTTTGTTTTACAACCAGAACCAGATATTTCAATATGTGTTTAGGTTAATGACTTGCAGAAATCGAAAGATTTTTTTTCAAATTAAAATCACAATCAGAGTGAGAACAAGAAGACCTACTTTCTCCTGGCAGATGTTCTGATAATCCCCCAGCAGCTCAAACACAGCGGAGGAAGAGTGTTTTAAAAAGGAGGCCAGGAATTCTGGGAAAAGACTTGCAGCCGCTGAGAGGATCAAAGAGTTTGGTGTAAAAAAAAATAAATTGCTCATCTCCAACAAACACAGCTGGCGGTAAAACGTTTGGTTTCACTCACCTGCCTCCCCGGGGTCGTCCTCCTTCAGCAGCGCTGAGCTCAGGTTCGCCTCGTCGTCTAAGAAGAAGCTGCTGTCGTCCAGTCCGACGGCGGGGGAAGTGATGCTGTTGGTCCAGGCGCTGTCCTCCAAATTCTACACAGGGGTCATTTTAGATCAGTTAATAAACCCAAATAAAAAACGACGGCTTTCGACGGCGTGTTAAGTCTCTCACCGCGCTGCTGAGTGCATTTCTGGGCGTGTGCGCGTATCGAGGCGTCCGAGATCCGGGAGCAAAAATGGAGGAGACGTCTAGAACTCTGGGGGTGACTTAGGAGACAGAAAGGCAGGAAAAAACTTGGGGTTTGATCAAATAAGGAGAAATTTCAGGATTAAATCACCAGGATTTAATCTGACCCTCACCAGCCTGTCTGAACAGGGATGCGGGGGTGTTTCTCTGCAGCGAGCGGGCCGGCGTCAACGAGGGAACGACGGGGCTGCTGCCTGGTGACGGGACTGAGCAGCAGAGTTAAGAAAACAACAACCTTCATGCCGTAGATCAGTAGAAATAAAGCTGTTTAGGTGCAAACTTTAATTTATCCAACAAAAATTTAACTTCAAACTGACAGCAGCATGATAAGCTAACTACTTATTTTACAACAGCTTCAAAATGAAGATTTTTAGTGATATCAGCGGAAACTTACATTCAGTAGCAGCAAGTAAAATCCTGATTAGTGCATCTCTACTAAAGGCAACAACACTAATATAATGGCTTTTCTCTTATGTGGTGCAAAGCTAGAAAGATAAACAGCATTTTTAGCACTTAAAGCATTTTGTCAAATGTAACACTTCATGTTTAATATTTCATCAAAGGAAGAAAACCCCTGATCAGGTAATTAGACATCTGTGTCATTTCATGCAACTGAAACAAAAAGCAGCAACATTAAAAATCAAGACTTGATATCATCTTATTTAAAACACGTTCAGGTTATATCTTTCAGACTGAGTGATAGCAACATCTAGAATGCACAAACAGCAGTATTTGTTAAGGATACAGGCCACCTTCTTCCTCCTGCGGGCGGCGACCGTCACCTCCCCATCAAGGACCACCGGAGACCGCAACTCATCCTGAGCCCTTCAGGACCCCAAAGCACACAGGCTAAGATATCCTCGAAACCATCGTCTCTATCTTTAATACATTCATTCTTATTCGATTATTATTACTTTACGTTAGAAGGGAAAAATAAAAGGAAAAAAAGTATGTGTTTGGAGGCTCAAAAGATTATTAAGTTAAAAGATTTGAGGCAATATAAAATCCTAAGACGGTTGTCCCATTTAAGCGGCTTCACTGCACGATATTCCCAAACTGTTATGACTGTTGCAGGTGTAGTTGTTTTTGTTGTTTACTCATTTCCATCCGGGTTTGGATGCGACACACTGCAAAAATGATCTGAAATTAAGTAAAAATGTCTTAAATCCAGGCTATTTACCCTTAATTTGAGCAGGTAAATAAGATAGTTTGCCAATGGAATAAGCATTTTTACACTTAACATAAGTCAATTAGATAATATGCACTTGAAATAAGACAATGCAATTGATTTTTCTTATTTCAAATGTAAATTGTCTTGTTTCATTGGCAAAGTGTCTCATTTACCTCCTCAAATCAGGATAAAATGCACTTATTTTAAGAAAAAATGACTCATTTAGGTTTATATTTTTTGCAGTGAAGGACGAGCCACATCAGTGATCACTTTTTATCGTTTGTTTACATGAGGAAAAGAGGTAATTTACTGGATAACCATAAAGTCAGCAATGTTTCCAATGTTTGTGCAGCCAATCACATGATAAACTTTTCCGCATTAAAATGCAGCTTTTTAATTAATCTCACATAGTATTCTAAGCAACAAAGAAACCAAATTGTACATTTTAATCACACGTCAGCCTTGATTATATTTATCAACAATAAAAACATTCAATTTAACCTCTGTATATAATATATCTCTTAAGTCAGTTTTGGTTTTGATTACTGAGGTAAATTGACTTTGTAATAACATCTATAGATTCCACTCTATGTCTTATTCCCAACCTGGATAGTGGCTAAACATAAGGACAATGAATGTCCCCAACATACTGTACAGGAACTGGTGTCCTTAATTGATATTCTTTACAAACATCCACAAAATAATCATGCATGATGTCCGTCCGTCCATCCATTCATCCATCTATCCATTTTCTAACAAGCTTAGTCCCAATTGGGGTTGCAAGGGGTGCTGGTGTCTATCTCCAGCTGTCTTAGGGCGAGAGGCGGGGTCCACCATGGACAGGTCGCCAGTCCATTGAAGGGCAACACAGAGACAAACAACCGTTCACACACACACTCACACCTAAGGAGGATTTAGAGAAGCCAATTAACCTAACAGTCTTGTTTTTGAACTGTGGGAGGAAGCCGGAGTACCGGGAGAGAACCCACGCATGCTCAGGGAGAACATGCAAACTCCATGCAGAAAGATCACAGGCCGGGAGTCGAACCCAGAACATCATGCATGATGTCACAGAATATATTGCCAACTGAATACTGGACATATCTCCACTGTAAATGCAGCCACGTCTGATTCAAAATAAATGAGGTAATGTTGTTTGTTAAAAAAAGGCTTCCATCCAAACAAATACAGGGTGCCAGGAGCAGCCTTTGTTATTTTATACAAAATATAACAATCCTACTTAGGTCTGTGTGGATCAACCTCCATTAACACTGCTTTAACGTGTTATAAAGCATCTTTTATGTACTGGGCGCCGGTTGCTTCAGCAACTGCCCAATTACACAGTAGCTCTACTCTTACAGCAATATCACCAGTGAAGATACCTTGCAATTTCGGTAATTTAGATGAACAACATCGGTCTAAATTCAATTCATATTCCAATGTAATAAAATATATAATATCAGTGCCTAAAAGAAATGTAGTTAAGTCGAAACTCAAATTATATAACTATTTGTAGATAAACGTTACTGGTTTTTATTAATAGCAGAGTTTAGTCTTACATTCGTCGTTTCCCTTACTAATGCGAATTATAATAACTTTCTATTTCTAACAGGTAACAGTTTAAATGAAGAATGTCAACAGAAATTAGCGTGTTAGCATTAGCATTCATAATAAGGGGCAGGGTTAGCATTGTTAGCATCATTAGCTCCCCCAGAATTAAACTACAGAGTGAGAAAATAAAAGAGATGAAAGTATAGAACGCAACAAAGTAGAGCTTAAACACTGTTTCAATAAATAAAGGCATAGTTTACCAGTCCATTTTGGAAAACCTGCCAGTTCCCGCTTCACGAGGTTTGGCAGGGATACTTCTTCTCTTTCAGAAACTCCGTAGATTAAAACCCTTCACGACTTCTACCGCCCCCTGCCGTATGCTGTTATATCGCATCCTAGAGAAGTTCAGCAGATATATTTTTCATTTTTCTCATTTCAAAATGTCTCTGTGGGATACAGAAAATTCATAAGATAGAAATGCATTTGGTAGCAAATAATCTTAACTTTTATAAATAATTACTCCTCTTTAACTCCTTAATATGAAGGACCAACTCTGCCATATTTAAAAATAAATACAGAAATAAATAAATGCTCAATAAATGTATAAGCATACAATTAATTGCCAACAAAAAAGTGAGACATAAATGTATATAACTGTTAATTAGCTTCTTTATTTATTTGCCTTTGTAATATTTACCTTATTTATTTTTCTGTCCTTTATAATCTTCAACTTTATTTTTTTATTACTTATATTTTTAAGTATTTATTTATGTGCATGATATTATATTTTTGTCTGTTTTATTCTTCCTTTGTATTTTTTTACCTTAGTTTTTCTTCGCCGCTGTATATTTCTCTCTGCCTTTTTACATTTCTCTATGCATTTCTATCTCATTATGCAAATGAGGAGGGGGTGTGTCCTAGAGAGTCAACTTCTGCTCATTGGTTGGCTTAGCGGCCCATCTTAACTCACAGAGCTCAGAGTACTAAGTTAAATGTTCTCTTTTCTGTTGCTGTTGTTCAATAAAAGTACGTTTTAAGATAATTTGAGGCGAGAACCTTATACTTTTAAGCATCACCATATGACCCATTCACAGATTTAATGCTTAATTTAAAAGAAAATGTGACGAACTTGAGAGGACCGTGGCAACCAGCGGAGCTCCGAAGCTGACGGCAGCCAGGTCTATAGCCAGGCTATGATGGCGATTTTTTGTTGTATTTGGCAAAGTTTGGCAAAGTCCCTACTCAAGTTCTAATGACTTCAGACTCGACATCAGACTCTCCTCCTGTAGATTCGACCGATGTAGTAAAATGCTAACCAACATGCTTCACACACGGCTATGCCGAGAGAGGGCCGCTGCAGATGGGCTGTGGTCGGACCTGGCTGCCGTCAGCTTCGGAGCTCCGCTGGTGCCGCTGTCCTCTCAAGTTCGTCACATTTTCTTTTAAATTACGAATTAAATCTGTGAATGGGCCATATGGTGATGCTTAAAAGTATAAGGTTCTCGCCTCAAATGATCTTAAAACGTACTTTTATTGAACAACAGCAACAGAAAAGAGAACATTTAACTTAGTACTCTGAGCTCTGTGAGTTAAGAAGATGGACAGCCAAGCCAACCAATGAGCAGAAGTTGACTCTCTAGGACACACCCCCTCCTCATTTGCATAATGAGATAGAAATGCATACAGAAATGTAAAAAGGGCAGAGAGAAATGTAAAAAGGGCAGAGAGAAATAAACAGCGGCGAAGAAATAACTAAGGTAAAAAAAGAATAAAACAGACAAAAATATAATAACATGCAGATAAATAAATACTTAAAAATATAAGTAATTAAAAAATAAAGTTGAAGATTATAAAGGACAGAAAAATAAATAAGGTAAATATTACAAAGGCAAATAAATAAAGAAGCTAATTAACAGTTATATACATTTATGTCTCACTTTTTTGTTGGCAATTAATTGTATGCTTATACATTTATTGAGCATTTATTTATTTCTGTATTTATTTTTAAATATGGCAGAGTTGGTCCTTCATACCTGAACAGCTAACAGGCAAAATATGACAAACAGATATTCATATTTTTCGTGATATGATCATTTTTAATAAAAGAAAAATTTATTTACATTTTTAGTTTGAAGGGGCATTTTTATGAGAATAAACGCGCAAATTTACGAGTAAAAACACACAAATTTACGACATTAAAACGTAGAAATATAAGAGGAAAAAGTAGCAAATTATTAAGAAAAAACATTTTATGAGAAGCACATTTGCAAGATTTGAACATATAGATTTGCGGAACAAAGCGAAATTATAACACACATAAAGTATGCTGCATAAAGCACACGCAAATGCATCATTATTTGAAGGCTTTAGCGATGGAATTAGAGGGTTTAATAGCCTCCTTATGGAAGTTTTTAAAGTAAACGTGAATCTCTTAAAAAATTTTTCTTCTGAATTTGCATCTTTATAATCTCGTAAATAAATTTATTTTTTCTTGTAAATTTGCCAATTTATTTCGGTACATTTGCTGCTTGTTTCCTTCTAAATCTGAATGTTTATAATATCGTACATCTTAATTTTTTTCTTGTAAATTTATAAGTTTACTGTCATAATTTTTTTACTTTTAAGATGCAAATTTTTCTTATAAATTTGCATCTTTATAATCTCGTAAATTATTTTTTTTTCTTGTAAATTTGCCAATTTATTTCGGTACATTTGCTAATTGTTTCCTCCTAAATTTGAATGTTTATAATCTCGTGTTTTACTCGTAAATTTGCCACTTTAAACTCTAACATTATAATTCCGATTTATTTTTTGTCTTTGAATGGCAGTCGTATTTTTCAGCCATTATTTCCATATTATTGTTGCGTGAGGATTTTTTTATTATTATTATTATTTTTACTTTATGTAACCATTATACATTCAATCAGGAACCATTACAGGAATAAATAAAAGCATTTTTGTTTTAAACTTATCTATATGATGAAAGTAATCGGGTTTGTTTCTGGTACAGAGTGAGACCTCTCTCTGTGTGACCCATCTCTGCGCCTCTCCTCCGCTCCGTTAGCTGCCGCTGTGGCTCCGCTCTTCGCCGCGGAGGAAACAGGAACAAACCGGTGATCCAGGCTGGGGTCAGTCGGGCTGCTGCATGTCTGGGAGCTGCGGAGAGAATCCACAGGTACGGCAGGGGTACATAGAGGGAAACCCGGGGCTGCATCTAGGAGCGCTGGGAACAGAGACTCGGAGCTGCTCGGTAAAAGTCGGAGCGGATCCGAATCAGAATCAGGGGGAGACAGAGGGAGATGGAGACCACCAGGTAAAGTTTGCTTAATGCGTGGCAGTTACACAGAAACATGACATGAAGCTATAATTCATACCAAAGCTGCTCATTTTAAAGTTGTTTATGATGTTTCATAACATAAGTTTAGGAAACTCCTGATTCTACCAATTTAAATAAACGTATAACTTAAAATGAATCCATGTAGAAGAGTAATAATCAGAAACTGTGGTGAAGTCAGCACTAAGCCTCCACCTCTAGACCACATGCATGAATAGATCCTGATGTTGGTGGAACCCTGCTTGATCAGGGCTCTGATCAGGACAAGGCTCTGACTGTATTTCAAGTTCTTTATTTTTTAATTTTTTTTTGCTCTCGAGAACAAGACAAGCAAAGGACACATAAAGCAGAGCATTTTGCTGGAGTCTGATGTTTTTCAGCCTCTCAGTGGGAGCAGCAGAATAAACAGGAAAACTAACACTAAACTAACACATATTGGAGAGAAACCATAGTCTCTATAGTTCTGCTGCTATAGGCTTAGACTGCTGGAGGACATAGGGACCCCTTTTTCATCATTCTGCTTCATTCTATCTCTATTCTCCCACTCTGCAGAATCTGTTAGTTCAATCTCTAACGTTCTGCTCTCTCTGCTTTTTCTCATAGTAGCTTCATCTGGTCTGTTCCTGTTTGGCTGTGACTCCATCCTGGAGAGAAATATCAGCTGTGCTGCTGCCATCAACACCTTTGTTTCTAGATGTTGGAGCTTGGCCTGTTTTCCAGTGTAGTCCTGTTTCTCTGACTGTGACTAACTGGATGTGCTCTCTTCATCCTCTGACATGGGAGCTGGCTCGGAGCTCGTCTGCCTGGCTGTGTGTTTCCTGGACGGGGCCGCCTGTGGAGCTGGTTGACAGTTGCCTTTTGTATCTATGCTTCTTTTTCTATGTCTGCTTCTGTCTCCTTGAACCCCAGTGGGCCTCAGCAGATGGCCGCTCACACTGAGCCTGGTTCTGCTGGAGGTTTCGTCCTGTTCAAAGGGAGTTTTTCCTCTCCACTGTCGCTACAAGCATGCTTAGAGCGAGGGATTGTATTCGAATCCATGCGATCAACTGGTTTTCCTTAGATAGAAAACTTGAGTCAATCTGACTGGATGATAATGTAAAGTGCCCTGAGATGACATGATGTGAATGGGGCTATAGAAATAAATTGAATTTAATTGAGAATGCAGAATTTTGTAAAGTGATCTCCAAGTCCTCCAGCAGGCTAAGCCTATAGCAGCACAACTAAAGAGATAGCTCAGGATAACTTGAGCCATTCTAACTTAAAGCTAGAAAATAACCCAGGAAGACATTATTCACACCAGAGCATTGATCTGTGAGGTGTTTAAGGAGCAAAGCTCTGGTTTGAATGTCTTCCTGTTTTTGTTTTTTCTTATTTATAGTACAGAACATTTCTGTAGTTTTAGACTTTATTTACCACCTTAATGTGTGAAAGATGAATTACTCCAAATGTGTTTCCTGTTCCCCGTCCATCCAGATGTTGGTGCAGTCATCCATCCTTTAGCATAAATGTGGAAATAGTTTTCCTATCTCTTCTTTAACATTTAAAAATGCCCTTTTTTGTTATGTTTTCCCCCTAGAGGTCAGCTCACTAACTTTTCACTTTCTTTTCTGTTTCTAGTCTGTGATTTTGAGCCTACCAATCTTTCCTGGGAAAAGTTGAGCTCGGGAACATCAGGAACCATGACCGGGCAGCTCTTTGGTTTTTCAGCCAACAGGCGCATCATCGCCGGCCTGCTGGTCAACCTGTTTTCCTCCATCTGCGTCGTCTTCATGAACAAGTGGATCTATGTCCACTACCGTTTCCCCAACATGACCCTCACCCTGGTGCATTTCGTGGTCACCTGGTTGGGACTCTACGTTTTCCAGAAAATGGACATCTTCTCTCCGAAGAGCCTCCAGGTGCGCAGGATCATGTGGTTGGCGCTCAGCTTCTGTGGGTTTGTGGCCTTCACCAACCTCTCCCTGCAGAACAACACAATAGGAACGTACCAGCTGGCCAAAGCCATGACCACGCCTGTCATCATCCTCATCCAGACCACTT